GTGCATCGAATGTGCGGCCGTAAACGTTTGCGCAAGCGGCCGGACATAATGGCCTTAAAGGACACAGATAAACGACCTGCGGTCACATAAACTGCATGCGCCGGTCAACTCATATATATTATGATTATTTGTTATTGCAAATTATGCCAATTAACCAGGGGATATAATTTTTCAATTGCTTAGATTAACAATATATATTTAATCACTAACTTTTGCTCGCGACTTCGTCCCGGTAGTGTTTAATAAAAACATAATTCGTTTTTACTCCTTTGTTCTAGACATAGTATGTGTCAATTCTGTCAATAAGATTCGCAATTTTATTTTAAAGAAATTAATTATATAAACAATTGCTAATAATGCACTTCAGCGCGCCATCTCGTATTCAACTATTTAACTATAACTATGATTGAATCTCAATGCCAACTTTTATCCTATAGAAAAGGGCTGTCATTAGGGTTTTCCCGGCAATTATTTGATTTTTCGTGCCGTAAAAACCATCCTTGGACTTTAACAAACATTAAAAAAAAAGAATTGACCAAATTAGTTGAGGCGTTGTTGACTTATGCGCTTACCAACAAATTTTGCGATTAATTTTTATATTATAGATAATCAAAATTAATAATTTCAACACTTGTTGCAAAAATATTCAACATTCAACAAACAAGCCATCTATTTAATTATGCGTGATTCAGTTTGTTGTACTCGTATTCGTATGCAATGGTTGTGGGTGAGTTGCCGCTTCGTGCCCACAATTCTGTTCGGCTGATTAATGAGCGCATGTAGAAGCATTGCCGGGATAATTGTGACAATATAGATACAATATTGTATTCAGCATGTTGCATCCCTGCCGAGGAGCAGAGAGAGGAGTAGATGTAGCGCATGATGTAGTGATATAATTGATCAAACGTGAGCGCACGGTTTTATTTATCATCGATAATAATTAATCAGCGCATTGTGAGCGTGGCGCTAAATTCATCGGAACCAGAGTGAATTAAATTTTGCAAATTAATCGTGCGAGCGCGCGTAGTTGGTGCACAATGGCTTTTTCATTAAGCGGCCGTTTCGCATAATTTATGTTAAACAGAATGACGTAATCAAAAGCGTAGTTAGATTTTCATGCGTGGTTAAAGTGATTGCAATTGCGTAATTTTGGAATTATTTTTGGGTTGGGTTTTAATTTACATTTACCATGTATTGTACATTGGAATGGTTTATTGGCAAGAATTAAAATAAATTTTGAGGTTAGGTGGGTTTTAGGATTTGAGTTTTTAAAGTTTTTGAAGAATTTGATGAGTTTTTGACTTAAGCACTAATTTAATAATATTTATTCTAAAATAAATGTACAGAAGTACATAAAAATGAGTATATGTATGTATGTTACTCATATACTCTTAAACGGCTCATTCGATTTTGATGAAATTTTTAGACGATATACAGATTGGTTTTGTGGGTAATATTACAAAGTTTGGTAGGGTGTAAAATAAGGGATGAAAGTTATTATGGAGATTTTATCATAATTATAGTTATATAATTCAGACACAGAAGGCGCAACAAGACACTTATTTGTTTTAACTTAAGGGGGTATTCTACTCTAGAGGCATGAATTTCATGTGATTTTTGAAAGGCCGTAAAAAAATCTATGAAGAGTTTCACCATCCATTTTTTTAACACTTATTTATTAATGTTTTGAGAATACAAAAAATAAATAAAAATTGAAAAAAGTTCAAAATTTTAAATTCCAGCAGGTGATAAAGTGGGGGGTCCCAAAAAATTGGCACGTGACCGTACCCATGATTTTAGCCCTCCAAGTGATATGAAATGAAAAAAAAAAGATTGTTAATCTAGAATAATGTCGCAATCGAATGAACTACGGACAAGTGAAAAAAATTTTTTTTTACAAAATGGCGACTGTTGAAAAGTGATTTTTTCACCCTTGTTTTTTGATATACTAGATTTTTTTTGGAATATTTAAAATCGGAATTTAGGGATAAGCGTAGTTCATTCTAAAGAAAAGTCTATAAAGAAGACCCTATAAAAATTTCAAGTAAATCGGTTCAGTAGAAGTTGAGAAATCGTGGGTACCGTCTCGAAAAATACAGTTTCGAGAAAAACACGTTTAAAGTTTCGCGTCAATGCGAACCAGTTTGGATGCCGCGTCACCAAAACGGCTATATCTCGGAAAATAATTTAAATTTTGAAAAATCCTCTTGTACACGTATTCTTGAATAGTTAAACTTTGAAAATATCAAAAAAAAATCGATTTTTTGAAATCTCTAGAGTAGAATACCCCCGTAAAAATGTATGTATTAGTAAATTATTTACAAGCCTATTCGGTCAATTTGCTCCAAATGAATAAACTAGAATCATTTTAAAATTAAATTAAATTATAATATTATAAAATCGCAAAATATTTGCTTTAATTGCACTGAACCGAAAATATTCGAATTTTTAATGAAATTTAAACAATGAAATTAAAACAACGGTCCGGTCCGTTTGAACATATTTGTTGATTGCAGCGCACGTTATTATTGCAGCGCGCGCGTTTCAAAGTGCATTCTAATCAGCGAATGTCACAGATTCCAAACTAGGTAAACCTGTTGCTGATTTACTGATGTTTGTCGCTCGATAATCAATGCATGCAAATTTTATACTGTGTGAACAGAGATTTAATTAATTTTAAATTTCATTCCTATTATTGCATCGCACATACTCATAGTACAGATATAATCTATATCACATCGGATAGTTTTTAATTAAATATAAATACGATTAAATAATATTTTGTTGCGTTTAAACAAAAACAAGTTGAAAATTTTGTGAAAAAATTAAAAAAATAAAAAATTTCAGAAGGTCTACACCTTCCCTTCTGTCGATTGTGCTATGTAATATTCGACGTCGTTGAAATTCATATGCATTCATGCGACGCACGAATTGTGTCTTCAGACACGTCCGTTTTCTCGACATCCCCATCTCCACACACCCGCACGCATTGCCAAAGCGTCCGCGACGTAATTCCTGTGCAATTCAGCCGATCTCGAATTCGGCGCACGACTGAATGTGAACATGCGCAAACACCTCGGCATTGCCACGTCAACACACTAGACTGAGGTTTATGCTGGGCGCGAGTGATGCATCGACGTTGAATTGACCTAAGAAAGCTTAACTCTACCGTTTTGGGCCGCCGGCAGCAATGGCCTGGTTGTAATGTTTATGATTATGACATTGGTGTAGTCGTAGTCGCTTGCTGTTGTCTCCTCTGCTATTCAGCTTTGACTAACAATATAGGGTCGTTTGTGAATCCATATACAATGGATATGGTGCACTCCTTTGACTGCAATTCCCGGAAAGTAATAGGTTGACATTATTGTTATTATCGTCTTTGTTGTTCAATGAATTACATTTCAATGGATTGTTGAGGTGTGTGCTATGTTTGATCGCAAGTTTCAATCATTGGCAATGAACTGTCATTGTGATTAGATAGGCAACCAAACATACACAATAATTTTCTGTTTGAATTCTCGTTTATTTTAAATTTTGAAAAAATGTTTTGCAAAAATTTCCGGAAACAAGTTTAATTAATGTTCAATGAATTGCTGCATTGTGTGCTATGTAGACAACCAAATATACACAATAGTTTTCTATTAGAAAATGCACTGCATATTTGGTTTTGATGAGTTAATGTGCAAAATTCACGCGAAAAACGTTTAACTTGTTAATTTATTACTCAATGAATTAAATTTTATAGAAATGTTGATTTTATTAAATGTTTGATCACAAAGGTCCAACCTCATATTATGACTACATAGGCAACCAAATATACACAATAATTCTCTATTAAAACACACCGCTGTATTTTCGTTTTTGATGAATTGATGCGCAAAAATGCACCCGAAACGTGTTCGAAATTTCAGCAAACATTCAACGAGGCCGCGCACGACTTGCAAATGAGCGGTAATAACGGGTAATAGGTATTTTGCCGCGTGGCGTGTTTGTGCAACGAATTGCGTTCGGGACACATCCGCGCGCACCCGTTTCCCGCTAATCCGCAGCAAAAACAATTCGGATGCACGCACATCCGATCCGCGCGTCGATATTCTCCTCGTCGCGCTTCCCGATTCCATCAATCCCAATCCGAACGTGGTTTGTCCCACCAACCCGCGCCCTTCGCCGATAGGCAATCAGCGTTAATGTGACGGCGCCAATGTTTATGTACCATTTGCTGTTTACAATAAACGCAGGCGCATGCATGACGGGCGCGAGGAGCGCTGCTAATTGAATATTGTTTAACTTTTAATTGAATCGGGGCTTTCTCATCAACATCGATATCCATCTGCTTCATAAATGTCACGGCCTCATCTGATTAATCAGATGTAGATTTGGATTTATAACTAACTATTCATGTCGGATTGAAAATAGACTCGGAACTCTGATTGTATAACGTGATGCCCGGCGCCTTCACATGTCAATTCAATTTAATTTTGTATTTTGTATTCATTATCAGCTTATATTTGGCTGAAAATCAAATTCAATAATTTTTCTTATTAATTCATAAAATTTTTGATTTATTAATAATCAAAATTAACTTTCAGTTTTAATGAATATTTGTGTTTTATTATTAATATTTTGACTGAAAACACTTTCAGCGTTAAATTTAATTCGAGTTTAATTTAATTCCCTCTGCCCACGCATAAATATTGTATTATTTATTTATATTTGTTGTTTTTAACTTTTTGGGCAGTGATTGAATGAAATTATTATTACTCATCTGCGTCAGCTGCGTTAACTGAATGTGTCCGAATAAACCGGACGCGTTGAACGCTAAATATTTTATTTGTAAAACTTTTTAACGTAAATGCCGCACTTAAACCTGCCGCCGCCAGCTGATGCGCGAAATTTAGCAGCCGGAAAGTGAAATCATATCACGCGCATGCGAGTATACTTTTTAATTGCGCCGTAAATAAGTTTTACTGATTTTAATTTGTTTCTGTTTTGTGTTGCAGAGATGGGCTAACAACAGAATTTAATAAATCGTCTCCAAAATGTAAGTTTTTAAATTCTTCGATTGAATTTATTTGCATTCTGAACAAGATTCCGTAAATATACACGAATTCTACGCGTTTTCAATAAATAAGTAAATCGTTTACAGGCGGCGTCTATCAATAAACTAAAAATTCCATTCATTCCAACCAATCTGACTGACTTGCTTACATCCGCGCATTTCTATATTTTAATAAGAATGCGTCCTGAATTCCGGTCACGGCGTATAGAGTGTTATTATCGTTTCGGCATTATTGCGCTCGAACAACGAAATGAAAGCAATATTACACCCTTTAATATCATCGCTCACAAATCGAATTTCGGCAAGTTAATAACCAAAGGTGTTGTTACCATTTTACCATTTTACTTATCGAATTATGTGTGTATCCATGAGTGAAGTAGCTTTCTGATGCAATTAATTATTAATTGCGACATGCGAGCGTGGCGAATGTTCGAAATTCCGACCTTGTGTGTTACAAAGCGGGCTAATTTCGAAATTCGTTGAATATCCCAGCTCGCCTTACGCCTTCGTTCGCAGATTGTAATTTATTGCTGATTAGCTAAATAATAAAACAGACGTTGAAAGAGTTGCGCTCTTTCAAGATTGGCTACACTCCCCCATCTGCCGGATTAAAAATTCCACGCTGATAGACATTCTCGCAATCTTGTGCTCTAATTTATATCACGTTAATTAAGCGGCTCACGCCGTTGCGATTACAATTAACGGGCGGTCTTCATTAGGCTAAAGATTGGCGTGCGATCCCGCTTTACTTTTGTTCGGTTTAATCAGGTAAAAAATAAAACACAGGCGCGGTATGAGAGAAAAGGTGTCTTTTTATGCTTTTTAATTATATATTTTTTCCCTCTGCGATATCTTTCCGTTTATCACGGTTCATTTATCAGTAAAATTGTGAGTTTAATCAAGTTGAAGTAGTATCATTTTCAAAATTGCTTCTTTCTTTAATTCTGTAGAACTTCTGATGATTTTTTTAGCAAAAAAATTGATATAAAATCTTCTTCCATGTATAATTTTATTTGAGGTTAAGATCGTTTTGATGGTTCTCCCAAGAGGCAATTTCGTGTAATCGTGCGCATTGTTAACACGACTCTGTTCGCATGGCGCAAAGTTTTCCAGTCGTTTCGCCTACTTTAACAACTATAAGAAAGTAATTGGTGCGGCCACTCGCCGACTCCTAAGTATTCTTTGAGCGCTTAGCTCCGAATATATATTTAGGGGATGAGACTTTTAAGCACTTTTAGGATTCTTTAACGCATCGACGTTGAGGCGAAGAGCTTTTCGCCAAGCTCGACACGTAGCAGCCAAGCGATTTGTATTTTGCAACCAGCGCTTAAGTTTACGTTTGCTTTTAATTGTCAATTAACGAGGAAATGTTCAGGGCAATAAAACCACTACAAAATGTATAGTGCGTGAGTGTGTGTAGGTTTTGCCCTCGTAAAAAACATGATAAAAGGTAAATCTTTGGAATTATTTATGTTTAAAGATAGAAAATTGCATAAATCCATGCTTTGACTCGCAGTATATATTCCGAACATACTAATTTTATAGTTTATTTCAATTTTTGTTAATATTAATTGAAAAACATTGGCAAAAGCGTTGTATTTGCCCAGGACAATGCTTTGAGTTGCAGTATATGTGCCGAACATGCGTTTTCTAATGTTAATTTGAATTTTTTTTACCAACTACTAAATATTGAAATATTGCTATATGTGTTCAGGCCAATGCTTTGACTAGTAGTATAATTATCGAACATACAATTTTTCTTGTTATTCTCAATTTTCACTCATCAAAATACCAAAATAATGTAAAATATCTACTCTATCGAATATCAAACATTGACAAACACGTTGTGTGTGTGTCCAGCATGAACGAGCGCTGCGTTTTATTGTTCCGCGTTACTGGCAGCTTGCGAGCGGCACTGGTACACTGGTGCTGACAGCCGAGTGACTTTGAATGTGGGCACGCAGTCGCGTTTTGTTTGCGCTAATATTCGCGATGGAGTTGACAGACGTGCGCGCGTAAAAAACAGCAACACATTGCGTCCAATCTGCATCAGATCAAAGCCGTGACACGAATTGTGAATGGTGGAAAATTACTAGTTTCGCTAATCCAATGAAAACCGAAATACAATACCGCCAACATCCGACGAATAATTGGAAAAATATAATGTCAACCCGTTTTAAACACGAGTACTTCTTATCGACACATTATAAATCACACTGTGCTGTGTAGCGTCTATTTTTAGCGCGGCGAATCGTCGAAATATTCGCGCACTGAATTGTAACTAAGCGCTCCGACTGTGATTGTGTGCGGCAGGTTTATACTGGGTTGCTACTCCACCGCCACCCACGATCCGCCGCCCGCCGCGCGCACGTTTATTATGTAATAACATTTAGGGACACGTTCGGGCGACGGAGATACATCTGCGAACAAAACCAGGGCGGGTGCGCTGTGCCCGAAGCAGTCAATTTTAACAACAATGGGGCGGACGGGCGGAAAAACAGCGAAACGGAAGTCACAGGGAAAACGATTTTTTCGCAAACCTTCTACCAGAGAATCATTCTCATCCCTAGACAATTATTTCATATATTACAAAAGCTGCTTAAATGTAACATCGCGTTTGTTGCATTAAAAATCTATTTTTTTTTATTTTTTTTTTTTTAACTTTTTGAGTTAGTAGTAGATTCTTTTATAAAGGGGTTGTTTTTGCTTGCGTTATTAATTTATGCTTGTGCACTTCGGCCCCAGCGTAATTTCTCCAGCGCTCTCCGAATTATTATTAAATTTAAGTGTAACGCGCAATTTCGCCACAGAATTTTTAATATTCCAGAGGAGGACTCAAAGGTTTCGACCAGACGGCGCTCACCAACCCTTTTATATTATTTATGACTTGCTGTGTGCAGTGTGTACACTGGTCGTGGACGCTTTTGTTTTGCACCCGTCGGAGTTTAAAATTAAAATCGAAATTACTGCATAAATAAACCATGTTGAAGTTATACGCCGTGTTGATATGCAACCATCGTCAATATTTGAGCGTCTTCGTCTTCATTATGATATCTGTTTCTTTGCGTTTAATTAGTGCCGGCGGCGCGTGTTAGCATCGTCGTAAATCATCGCTAAGATGTGGTCGGCGGTTCGACGAACGCGCGGCGCACATGTGCGGCGCGGTCGCGACGCTTGCATGATCTCTTTAAGATGGCGTCGTTTGTGTCTTAACGAGACCCTCATGGCGACGTTGCGTTGATTAGACGCTTTAATGACGCAAACATTCAACGGCGGCTACCCACATCACCTGGGTACAATATTAAACTGAGAATGTAAATAATACAATAAATTAATCTAGAAAATTAGGGAATATTGGTTTTTGAGGATTAAAATTATTGATTTTTTCGGAAAATTATCTTGGAATAATAGAAAAATTATTATTAACAACAGAAATTGAGTAATTTGTTTGTAAAACGGGCAAAAAATTACATTTTTGTTTGAAATTTGCTGAAAAAGTGTTTGTGACGTCAATGTTGAGTTAACAAAGAGGAAAACTCGCTCTACAGTAGACTAAATACGTGAAAATAAAATTTATTCTAAAGAAATTACGCCAAATTATTGATTATATTACATTACACGACATTATCACTGATTATTTTGCTTTTTTATTTAATTTTCTGTTTTTTTGATGTTTTTTAATCGTTTTTTAATCGTTTTTCTACAATTTTAAACAAAAAGTGAAAAATTAAAGTACCCAATAGTGTATTTCATTAAACAATTGCATTTTTTACATTTTTATTAGTTATTTGATTAAATAAAACTCCAAAATAATTAAACCTAGAGAAAATAGTATTCCTCCCAGTTGGATTTGGTTCATTAGCAGTTGGCAATCTCATTATCCAAAAGTTTACAATCGGATTACTATATATAAAATGTGAGTTTAGAAATTTCCCCGCCAGCGATCTTTTTGTTTCCCAGCGCTGGAACTATTCGTTTTACGATGGCCGGGCGATTAGCAAGGACCTGTGCCCTTGGTTCGCGTGACTGCAACCTGCAATTGTGACATTCGCTGCAAAGCTCCCTCAGCGCGCCACCGGCAACTTTGGGTGTCATGTTTGATCCAATTAGCAATTTAAACTACACTCGCGAGTTTCATGTCGGGTGTCATTGTGTCGCTTTGAACATTTCTATTCATTATTTAAGAGCCTCTTAATTAGGATTAATTCGACGCCGTTCGAAATTTTGAGCGGACATTACAATTCACACGGTGCTTATTGTACAATAGCACATATTATGATTACAGAAGTGTATTTTACTCACAGTCAACGTAATACAATTTATTATTCGAGTAGAGTCATTGTGAACAAAAAATAAAACGCTCAATATGTGAAAATTGAAATTGAGTTTTAAATTGAAGTGCAAAAAACTTTTCATTCGTTTTTTTGTTATGCGTTTGAACAATTTCATTTCGACACGATTCAGTGATGAAATAAAACGCATTTCTGTTCACATCCAACTAAAAAACTCGTGTAACCAATCAAAATATTGTAATAAAGTTAAAATTAATTCACTATCAAGCCGCATTAAATCAAATCCAGCGCTGTCTGCGCCTGTCAGAACTGTTTTATTCGACGCTTAGAATAAAAGTTTCCGTCAAGATCTCCAAACGTCTACAGGTCTACACGTTTAATACTTTCGAGTTCTTCGAGTAGAGAATTTGCATAGACAGGAATTATATATTGCCAAACTTCTGGTTTCCGCTTTGCTATCGCTTTTGTTCGACGCGCATTATTACTTTATTACATTCAAAGGATCAAAGCCGGCGCACGAAAGAAGCGACAATTCGCGAGTATAAACAATTGCGAGTTGATAAGAAGAAGCATTAATAAAACGTCAAATAAAGCGCATACTTCTTTGAGGAATTACTCGGATATGAATATGAAAGGCTGCCTGTTCGGCGCGTCGATGAAAGACAAAGTTTCCGCCGTCATCACCGGCAAGTAAGAAGTCGTTTCGGAAGTTGGGACTTTAGGCGAGTATTAATTACATATTTCGCGAACTCGCGCTGTTGAAACTTTCCATTTCACGCATGCGCCCGACACGTGATTTGCCAGATTACCACACCGTTTTGGAATTAGGTCAATGTTGGCAGAGTTAAAAAGAATTTAATTAATAAATGTGTTCACTTGTTGCGTTCGCGTGGAAAATATTTCAAGTTTTCGCCGCAAGGTAATTTCTACGGGTTGAAATAAATTAGTCGGGCGCATTAATTACGCTCACTTTTATGTGTATAATATACCTGTATTTACGCCGGGCACTTTCGTGCTGCGCGCTATGGGGAAAAAAGCGGATCCGCTTAGCTTCCGATTAATTTCGGGGCCGGTTCTCAAGCGCGCCTAACACCATTGGTACGCACGTAATAACGGCAATAATAATAAAAGTCAAGGTAGTTGTGCGTAATGACGTTATATACACATTTAATCAGCGTTTAATTGCGGATTAACGGCGGCGCCCCGTCGTTAATTTACCACTTCAGGGCGGAAATGTGCGCGATTTGAGTGTGTTGGCGCAATTAGAATGAGTTTTGGAAAAATAGCGAGTTTGTATTACTTTTTGGATAAATGACAATTTTACAAGGATTAGGAATATGTTTTATATATTGTAGGGAATATTGTAATATCGCGTAATTACAAAAAATTACAAAAATTTGTTTTTCTACTCAAATATGTTTTTTTTTCACCCCGTGACTAAAGTACTTTAATCACGGATGTGACTAAAGTACTTTAGTCACACCCGTGATTAAAATATCACTTTTTGTATCTAAAATTCATAAATTATAACTTAGGGAGTTTTGATTGAGGGATGAAAATTGTTTTATAGACTTAATCATTATTATACGAGTAATTAAAAAATTATTATCGAATTGGTGCTTAAGTGAATCATTTGCATTTTCATATCTTCAAAATAAAAGATATGAATAATATAATATTTTATCTCTACCTAAGGACACATAAATAGAAAATGAGTAATTTTAAAATATTTGTGTTTGAGTTGCGGTTTATGTGTCGAACATAAAAAATTTATGATGAATGTTTACCGCTGGCACTTAAAAGATATCCCATTTTATAAAATGATTAAATTACCATTAGAAAGTAGTTCCTCTCGGTGGCAAATCATGATGACACACAGTGTCCGATTTCTCATCGGCGTGTGAAATGAGAATTCCAAAGTAAGATAAATCACAATCATCAAAATCCTCCCAAAGAGAGCGCGCCCTCCGAAGCGGTTGAGCGACCGGCGAACAAATGGCGAAAAACGAAACGACGTTCCGGCGACTTATGTTGCCTTCAACTGCCGGCCGGGGATATATTTGATGATGAAAAAATGCGCAACACGCAAGGGCATTTGTAGCAACAGGAAAACCTCGGGCCGAGATCAACAAACAACAACGGCGGCGCGCGTTCGTCCCGAGACCGACTTTCTATTTGTGTTCGTTCCGGGTTTGATTTATGAATCTCGTCGTAATTAAAGAATACGAAGGCAGCGCGCGCATACAAAAAATATATAAATAAATAAACGCACGCGTTGTGACGCGGAAGAATTTCGCTTTTTTACGCGGATGCTTCCGCGGATAGAAATGCGAATGCGTAATGCGTAATACGAACGGAAATGTAACGGTTTCGGTCATTTGTCTCTTTTCCTTTTCTATCCGGGACAATGTCAGACATTTTTCGACTCGTTTCCCTCGACTAATACGAAAATAATTGTAACAAATCTTAATTTGATAACAATTAATTCATCAAACAAAAGCAAAAAGTTAAAGCCGCGTGCTCGATTTAGTGCGCAAACAAGTAAATTCACTTTATTTTTCCATTAAACACTCACAGCAGCACTCAATTTCATCCCGGAGCCAAATCTCGCGGATTCTTCCTCGACGTCGATGTTGTCATTAGTGACCTCAGCGTGCGCGCAAAAGTGTTCCGCATCGTTTCTCGGTGTCACCCAACGACAAGTATTGTGTTCTGCTTGAAAGCCATCACACACGCTCGGGGGCGGTGCGGTTTTGCTTTCTCAGCCGCTCGCAGCGCGTCTAATTACATCAAGCGACGTGTATTTGTCAAGTGTCGCGGCGAAAGTTTATTTACCGTTACTTCGGCGCGCCCGTTTTTCACGAGCAACACACACGTCGCCAACAACGACGACGACGGTGGTGATGTTACAGCGCGCATTTTCATTTAGTTTGGCTTCATCAGCCCGGCGCATCCGCGCATTGTTTACGGTTTTAAAACGTCACCGGCCGGAAGCAAACAAATGGTTGGCGCTTGTTTGATAGTGTGTCTCGCGGGAATGTCATCTCGGTCGTGGTGTATCTCATTCGGGGCCGTTTAATTAATTATTTGTTTTGTTTCTCGACAAATGGAGAAATTTATTTATTTGTAATTTAATACTAATAGGAAGTTTAAAAACCCCGTCTCACAAATAACTTTAATGTCGCGATGCGCATTTCGAAGGCTAAGCCTTCCTCTTCAGGCGAAGGAATTATAAAACTGACTGTAATTTAATTGTGAAATTGGATAAAACGTATAGTTTAGATAAAATTAATTGAACTAAAACTAATTATGTTATATGATTGTTTTCTTTACATTTAAATTAGAAATTTGTTAGTAATTAAAATATTTATTTATTGCATTTCTTACATTTTTTAATTAATAATATAAAAATGAATTGAAAAATATGTTGGTAAGTGCATAACTCAATAACGCCTAGACTAATTTGGTCAATTCTTTTTTTAAATGTTCGTTAAAGTCCAAGGATGGTTTTTACAGCCAGAAAAAATCGAATAATTGCCGGGAAAACCCTGAAAACAGCCCTTTTCTAGAGGATAAAAGTTGGCATTGAGATTCAATCATAGTTATAGTTAAATAGTTGAATCCGAAATAGCGCGCTGAAGTGCATTATTAGCAATTCTTTATATAATTAATTTCTTTAAAATAAAATTGCGAATCTTATTGATAGAATTAACCAATACTATGTCTAGAACAAGCGAGTAAAAACGAATTACATTTTTATTAAACACTACAGAGACGAAGTCGTGGGCAAAAACTAGTGTCCTATAAAATACTACTTACTATATTTGATTAAAAGATTATCTGCTGATGAGGTCTTTGGAAGTGAATGTTTTGTTTTGTTTATTTGCCGTTCCGACAAAAACAGTACTTTGCTGGTGATGTTGTTGTTGTTGTAGTTTCCTACCATTCCATTTAACTTAAGAATCCTTTAACTAATTGACCGTATAAGCCAATTACACAGCCAGTTCCCATTGTGCGCGTCTCGCGTCCACTTCTTATTTCTCGGCGGCGCGCCCTCGGCGCCGGTGTGACAGCGCTAATCTACGTTTAGTGGATGGCCTTGCTTGGTGTTCTTGCGGCAAGCGGAGCGCGGTTCAGCGGGAAAAAGACTCAGTCAATACATTTCGAGGCGGAGGCTTGTCAGTCAGGTTGTGCTTATTTCATTAAGTGAGTTGTTAAGTAGTTAACGAGGATAGAAAGGTCACGGGGTGGCTTAGAAATTAGGAAAGTGAAGTAGAGTGTCATATTTATAAGTAGTAACAATATAAATCATTGTAAAAATAGTAAATTGTGGATTAAGTGTAAAAAAGGAGACATTTAGTGATTTGGTTAGGATTTGGTGGCAATTTTTAACCGTTAAAATTTGTATGTTGCATGTTTTTATTAAAATTGCTCTTAAAACATGTAAAAAATATGTTTTTGCACACTTGAGCTTAAATATTTTCCTTTTTACCATTAAAATTAAAAATTATTCGCAATTTTTCCCTTTTTTTACATTGAAAATGATTTTTTTAAATTTAATTTTTCTATTTTTCTTTTTTTATTTCACCAAAAACAATAATTTTATGCACTTAATCTCATTTTAATCTTAATCTAACCCCTCTTAAAAGTTTAACAAACCGTGAAAAATTAACTTTAATCACTGCGAAGCTGTCGAAAAACAAATCAAATATTCGTTTTATTTTTCTGCGTTTGTCACAATACTTCCGCACCGATCATCATTCCACCCCGACTCTATCAATTCCATCGTATTAATTGATTGCATATTAAACGCGACGCCGAACGGCCATCGATATCATGTTTATGATCAGACGTCAGCGCAGACGAGTAGCGCACAAATCGAGTTTGCAATTGGAGCGCGCGCTCGCGTGTATCCTCGAATCGTATTTTTACAATCGCGCCATGATTGCAATCGGTGCGCCGCGGCGCATCCACCAAATGCAAATGCGTTGGCAACATTTATTACCTGGTGAATATTTCACACTCTTGCAGATGACGCTGACGCCGCCGATATTCGAATCATCCGCCATGGTGACACTGGCGACCGCCATCCGGGTGCTTCCGACGTGTGGTGAGTGAAAGCTTATTGTTTTCTTTGTGTTTATTGTTGACGCTCGGAATTGTTATTTTTCCGCAAGCCGTAACAACTCCCTGGGCGCTTTTTTTTATGAAACGCAAGTCACGCTGATATTTTATTTACGAAACATTTTCGGGGTTGAAAAACGTATTATGTATTGTGTCAGTCCCTAGAGCATTGATTTGTTTATCAATTAATTATTTACGTGCATTGTTTGGCCCCAATTTTAACAAATTCAAGGTCAAATCGATAATAATTATTTCGTATTAAAATTAAAACATGAAATATTCAGATTTGCGATTTTTGTTCGCTGAAATATTTCGCACAAATGACATATCAATGATAAATATCGGTTGGCGTGTCGAATTGGATGTGAGAAAATAATCCAAACGGAAATTGACTGGGTTTTATCATCACAGCTTTCAGAGTCTGATGCGGGAGAAAAAGGCACCGGTGGTGCGGCGTGGTGTGGCCGAAAGACAATTTTTAATATAAAAAAGATTTTCGCATCGGCGTTTAGTGGCGCGAGCTCGTTCCGCTTTGGCGAAATTACGGCTGGATGGATGCTTTGTGTGCGTCGCGCTGCGAGGGTTCGATATTTGCGAATGCGCGCACGTCGAGTGGATGCGACGCAGTTTTCCGGCGCGAAAGAAAGACATGTTGCAAACACAGCTCGGTGGGGATGACACGCACCGAATGCTCGACATTCGACATCTTCGACATTATCGATAAATATGACAAGAGCTATATATTTCAATATTGTATCAAGGACGGGAGAATATTCGTGTTTTTTGCGTATAGTACACGCATGTTTTTACTTCTGTTGCAAAAAAGAGGTATTACATGCAATATGAATAATTTTTTATAATTTTTATGGTTTTGGATTTATTATGTCATTAAACAACTCATTTGCTGATTTTAAGACCAAAAAGCATCGGAAATTCAAATTTTTAAATTTTCTTTATTTTATTCTCGGCATAAAATAGAAATATTTCAAGTAAAAGTGAGCATACAAATTGTTTTCGGTAGTTTTACGGAAAATATTTGAAAGTCGTCGTGCAATTTAACTATTTGACATTGGTGCCGGCACTATCGAAGTGAAAATGTGACTCGGAAATTGCGAACACCCGGAAAACGTGGTAGAGAATGGAAAATTGCAAATATTCCTTTCTTTTGCACGTTCCAATCGAAAGTTTCAGAGATCGGTGTGCACTTTGCCATCACAATCGCCATCACCGGCATCGTCGTCGTCGGTTCTGCTACGAATAACTGTAGAATAAGAAATTTTACATTCCCCATCACTTTGATTGCCCGTTTTTAGAATATTTTTCATATTGTATAGAAAAATTTACAAAATTTTCTAAAATTTTTAAAATTAATATATTTTATGTATTAAAATTTAACTTTGTTTGGGAGTTTGTATCGTTAATATTCAAATCGATGTAACGATGTTACGACCTGTGTTTAAATCTTTTAGAAAGACACAAAACCCGACGTTATAAACAAACGTTTTATTGCTGGCGCTCTCTCCAATTGGTTTTTATTGCTCCGCGGAGATGGTGACGCCCGACGGCAAGTTTTCCAATTCGTTTCCTTCGTTGTTCGGGCGCCTAGTGGACCGCGGATGCATAAATTTCATTTACGACAACTGTATCGTAAAAAATAAAAACGCCAATTATAATTTGAACAACGCTAACATCCTATTAAACTAAAAAGTAATCAAACATGTTTTTAATATTTTTATTTCTTAATTTTACGAATTATTAAACGTATAAAAATTATTTAATTCTATGATTCATGATGATGGTGATTCTGTGGTGGCGGCGCCGGTCTTTGTTACATTTGCTCCCCGCTGAGAATAAATCGTTGCTTTCACTTAGCATAGCCGTCACGTTTCGGTGAATTGCGACCGTGGTGCGGTGCACAATTTGCCTTTATATTAAATAACTAGTCAAGACTGAAGTACTTGCTTCCCTAGCTGAATAACTTCATTTCTTTACCGCTGAATATTGACATACATTTAGTTTTTAACTAGCGGCGCACGGCACGGCACAGAAATAAATTGGATCGGTTTTTGTATTGATCCCTTTGGAAATTAGCAAGAACAAAGAGGCGAGATGTCGGTAAGAAAGCGGAAAATCGAACCGACATCCGATATATTATTATCTATCCGCCGCTACGCTTTTTACGCACGCTTTGGGTGGGCTTCCTCTCGCTCTGGTCGCTTGCTTCGCTCGACCTCGGCGGCTTTCCGACATTAAAACTTCCAACTTTTTTAATTAAGAAGAGATTTCCGCGGCCAAGTATTTCGCACGGCGCGGCGATCGTTGAATTCGTCGCGCTATAGGTATTGCTGCCCTGCAGCAAAGTTTTTTCTTAGTTGGGAGCTTAACGTTTAACTGATACGGTTACAGTTTTAACCCATGCATATATTAATTGTATTTTAATAATTTATTCTCGTTAAAATTTAGTTGTTTTTTTTTCAAAGGATTGGGTAAAATAGGATTATTTAGGGTAAAAATTGAAGTTTTATGCATGCAAAACACGCCAAGTAGTGTTAAAACCAGTAAAAAACGTGAATTTTAGTTTTTTTGTTTGTTTGTGACGCTTTCACGCATAAACCACTAAAATAATTTTGATAAATTTTGGTGTAAAGATAGATTTATCTAAGGAAAAGAAGATAAGCATATTTTTGTTGTTAAAATATAACTCAAAGGGAGTTAAATAAGGGTTGAAGGTAAATAAGCATTTAATCATTGTTAAAATAATATAATTCATCCGAAATTATGCTAAAATGCTTTATTGACAATGTTTTAAGTTTTTTAGAAGAAAATTGATAATTTTATTGACGAATTCGGCACATAATAGACCTAAGAATCAAAAATCGTAATTATTAGAGGCACTTTTTACTAAAATTTTAAATTTTCACTTTTAAAAAATTTCTAAAAAGTAGTTGCTTGATGTCTGCAGCAATATTAAACTACCTTTTTGCTCTAATATCTTCAAAACCTCTTTTTTCTTCTTCTCTTATCTTAATACGCAATATTCTCTGCGATATCATGCTTCTTGAGATGCATTTTGAAAGCGATCCATTTCGTTTCAGCGAAACAATTTATCATTATCTTCCGAAACGTAATAAAGTTAGGAAAATATGAACGAGTTGGCATTTTTGCGCTGGTTGTCCTAGAAAATGGCAATTTTTTAGTTGGTTGCCTTCGGCTTTCCTCGGCGCGATTATACATACACACTCGACTCCTATCAGAGGTCTCGTATAACACACGCGCTGTGGGCAAACTGCAAAACATAAACGTACATGAAAGGAGTTTTCTTATCTCATCCGCTTATCGTTTATCGGTTGGAAACTCGCTTTGTGTATGCGCTGCCGAGCGCCGGCGGCTAGCATAGTAAAGAGTAGATTTAAAGTGTCTGGGTTTTACATCATCACGTCGAAAGTTTGAATCAAACAAATTGCGTTTAGTGGCTACTGAAACTATAACTTCATCCAAGGAGATTATAAGCATTAAAGTCAATCATTTTCCATTTCTAGTTCTTAGAAGATGATTGAGTATTGAACACAAATGCAATTTCTGTATGAAATGCAAAATGCAACAATTCACTTCGGATTTATCTGCGCTTATCCCCGCACTCGTACGCTAAATATTCGCGTAAAGTCTGTTTTAATGTCGGAATATCAAATCCATGCTGACGCGATTTCTACAGTCAGCGAAATGGACGGCAATCGCAAGAAAAAAATGAAAAATGCGAGCGTGCGATATCTTCGAACATGCGTGTCATTTCGTATGGATCACAGTTTGCGATAACACCGTGTGATAGCCAGCGTGTTATTTTTTTGCGGGCATCCGACGGATGCCATTTGCGTTGGAAAAAAATTGCCAAACACGTAACGGCCGAATTAGTTCGCACGAAAATGTGGCGCAGGGAATCGAAAATCCAGATACGCATCGGACATCGATGCGATAAATGGAAACGAGCGATGCTTGACGTTGCAGAAATTGAAAGTTGATTGGTATTAACTTACAAATAAAAAAAATTTAAAGAAAATTTTAGATTATGTTACAAGTTACTTCTGGTGCTTGTCACCCATCTGACCTAATTAATTAATGTTGGTAATTACACGCACTAAGTACACCTTAGTCGGCCATTGCCCGTCAAGGAGTTTATCCTGATCCCTTGATGGCAAGCCGCCATCTTGTTCAGCCAGCGTGGTGTAGTACTTAAGCTCCGACCACATATGGTGCCATTAGGCGAGCAAACTTTAAGATTACATAATGACACCGATAGATACGAGATAACGACATCAGGAGAGCAACGAAAATTATTTTCTACTTCAGGGTGTCATAAATACTGAGTTACGTATCTATTTTTGGATAACAACGTGTAAATTGTAAGGTTAGAAGGGTTGTTACACGCGATACATTTTCTAACTCGTAAATTATTTTTATTTATCGCACACTGCTGAATTGCTGATTTTAAAAATAATTTCAAAAAATTCTTTGAAAAGATAAATTTATTTTTATTCTGTTAGGCATTGGCAGCCGGTAAATTATTGTCGTTTATTTATTGCGCCTGAAATAAGATAAAAAAAGAACACAAGCGACTGTATTATCGAATTTCTTTGTTTGCGTTATTGCGTCGGGAGCGCAAATAATGCCGATGTAATACGAAATGCGGCCTGCGGGCAACATTGATAATGTCGATAAAAGCCCTCGACCACCACATCATCGGCGCGCGTGCGATTAAAAAAGATTCCCGAAGCCATTAATCGCCAAAACGTGGCCGGCGGGCCGAAAACAAAAATAAACGAACCACCATTATCGCCCCGGTTTAATCTAACCGCGGACGCGCGCTCGCGCCTCCGGATGCCGGGCGTTGTCTCTTCGCAAATAATTTTAACGCTTGCACACACATCCACTCACGCGTATCGAATGCTTGCATAGTGCACCAGAACACCACCCGGCTTCCATTTCCGCCATCAGTTGATTAGTTAATTAATGCGCTGACTTTGATATTAACACAACAAAATCAACTGCAACACACATCGAAAATTTTGCGTTGAATCATTGTGAAACCTGTTGGATTTAATCTGGAAAGTTTTTTCAGCACGATTGTGAGTTTTACAAAGTTCTTTTCCAACATTAATTGTCTTCCCTTGTCGCCGTTTCGGCAGGAAACAAAAGAAAAATGCGTCATGTCGTTCAAATAAACGTCTTCGTAAAGTGCGCGTCGGCGACGTGACGACGCAAACTTTAATAAGTTATTAAATTAGTAATTTATTTGACAGCTGTTTTCAAGGACGCGCCCACGTGTCGAAAATAGTAATCGGCGCACTAAAAGAGTGGCGGCGCGTGCAAAATTTAATTTCGCGCGATCCCACCGTGATTCCGCCCGGGTGATAGTGCCCGGGAGCCGATACGTGTGTAAACCTTCCTGGGGGCTTAATGCCTCACTTTAATAACGCTCCCGGAGGCGTAGTATTAGCACCTTTTTATCTCTTTTTTGTTTAATTGCTGTAATATTTAAGTTAATAACAAAACTTGTAATTTATTGCGACTCACTGACCCGTGGGAGTGTTTTATTCTTGAAATTATTATTAAAATTACTTTTCTGTTGGTTTTTTTAAAGGTTATGTTAGTTATGATTAAGGTTATGTATTTCTTTGATGAATTATCGCGTTTCGGGGAAAAAATGTAACAAAAACTGAACGGTTTGATGGCTTGACGTTCAAGAGTAAAGCCGGAAACGATGCGGTAATAATGGCGATCAGTCAAGTTGGTTATTAAAAGCCAACCGCGGCGGTCACTCGCAGTCGATGTGAAATATATGATGATGGCGCTGCACGCGGGAGTAAAAGACATAGATAAAGTCGGCGGTAAACAGGGCGGTTATTATAGATGGGCGGCGCTCGCGGCGACATTAACGGATCGAAGAGTCAGCGCTCCGATTTGTTCCAAAGGCCAAAACATCTCAGCCCTCATACATCATCTTGATCATCATTATCATTAGCTATACATTATATATTATCTAGTTTTGGAAATAATTTCGTAGCTATAAAATCGATAAATACAAAAGTTTTATTTTTTCATTTGCTGAAAGAAAACGAAAGATTGAGAGATAAATTTATTTGCAGCGTTCCCATTAATTATCCCGAGAGTAATAAAGTGTATCGCTAATGAGCGCGATTAATTTGAAAACTTCGTTTCTTTTATTTCTGATTGAGGCGGCCGCCGGTGCGCGCTGGATTCGTTTAATTAAAGCCATTTCAGATCAGAGATTTCTTCACGTGCCGTTAGTTCCTTTGTCGGCGGCAGCGGCGGCGGCTTTTTTTGCTTTCCACCGCGCGCTTTGTGCATTGTCGCTTTGTATATTCAGCTGGCGCGGCGTGGACTGGAGAGTCGGCCTGAATGTTTCCAAGCCCCGGCTGTTTGCTATAGACATAAGACGTTCTTCCTGCCACACCGCTTCAACCTGGTTGAAATTAGGCCACTTTCATCTCATCCGCTTGATCTATGAAGTATCTCTGCCACAATGCCAACAAAAAACACTTACTCACATAACGAAACTTTTAATCCTGCTAGAAGCATATAAAAGCATAGAAAATGTAACAAGTTACATTTTTACTTTTAAAAATTCATCATTCGCATTTGGTTATGTCTTGTTTTCCCAGAGTGACCTCTGGACCTTCAGAACAAGTTTTCTCCATAGACCCGACCCGTCCGCTTTATGACGTTGAGGTTTCCCTGCCCTTCTAAACTCGCCCTAACATCTAACAAACATTAGGACATGCAAAAAATTACTTGTACCACTTCTTGTCCATGCTTATGTAGCCCAACAACCTACTTGTTCAAATTTCACACTCGAAATCCTTGCAATGTTGTACATACAATTACCCTCCGGAAGGGTAACCACCACAAGCGTTGTGTAATCGCACGAAATGCAGAAAATAAGTTGGACGCGAATTTTATTATAAACATAACCTGATTTATGAGCACTCTTAGTTTACTTAATTATAAAGTTTCGAGAGAAATGTTCAATTTACGAGTGTGTGCTAGCAAAGTTTATACTCTTCTTACTCGCGCATGAAAACGGGGAAATTGTGGTCTGGCTGCTTTTGATATTAAACTTTGTAACGCAACCATCGACGTATTTAATTTATGTACTTACCACGGCTGCGGTGGCACGATGCATTCACCTTGCGCTTCTTCATTGTTCATCTTGCAGTCGCATTCGCCGGATAATTGCATAAAAAAAGCAAGTGGCGGGAAATTTACGAGTTAATTGCATTATAACTTAGTCGGTTAAGTTTCATTACAAACACCGGAACTATAATGAAACGTTTAATGTATCTACGTCAAGTTTAACTTAAATATCTCATAAAATGTTTGTTTTACATACGAGTTTATTTAAACGCGTGCCAAGTTTCGAATTTTATTTAAGAGCTGGATGAAAAGTCCTCTCCTGGGTGGTGAGCACAAATGAAAACTGCCACATTTTCACAATGCCAATATATTCGCACGTGCCCAGCGAGACAATTGCATCACGAGCGCAAATACGACGAATGCAATTGAGAACCAACTTCGTCGCGGCGCGTGTTTGCCCAACGTTAACCGCAATTGCTACTCGTTCTCCAGCCATTCTCTAAGAATGAAAAGTATCCACTACGCAGTTGGAAAAAGATGATGCATCTGACGTCAATTGAAGATACTCGTTTTTCAAGCCTTTCAACATCGTTCAGGAGCTTGTAATGGAAACCGCAGTTACCTCAAGTTACCACACAAGTGTAGTGGGAATTCAAATCATGCCCAGCACGTTCGGACATGTTAACATATATTGCATTCTAGGGGCGTTTAGTCATTGGGGACACTGCGGTTGGAACCCTGCAGTGATACGTCTGCAACCAAACACGCATTCAATTGTGGTTAGAAGCAAAACGGTCTTAGTGCACACTAATAAATATCATCATACTTGTTATCTCAACCAAACAGTAAAGTTTACTGCAGTTTACTGATATAATGACATATCAGTCGTTTAATGTTTGCAAAGTCAAGCAGAACGTCCATTGATAACGCCCAATCAAACATTTCATGAGTTGGGAATGTTTCGCAAAGTTTTCGAAAGTTTGTTGACATGCGGGGACAAAATAATAGCGCTTTCCAACTGTGCGACTTGATTTCTTCTCCCCAACAAGCGAGAATTGTAGGCGAAGAACAATTTAAGAAGATTCACACCCCGGTCGTTACATTTGATATCTTCAAAGTGGCTCTAAATTGATACTTTAAAGCGCGTCTGTATAAGTTTTCCCATTTCTCACAAAAATACATAGCAGCCGCGATATAAATGATTAATAAATGAAATGATTAATAACGCTTATAAACGATTCGGGAAACTTTCATCGTTTTGGCATTTATCAACGTCGGCGTTTCAAAAGTCGACAAATAAATCAAGGATTGAACTGCGCACAAAGCAGGTCCTGCACCCTGGTATATAAGCGTGAATGTGGATCTGCTTACGACCCATTGTCCTCTGTCTGTCATCTTTACGGCCTACTCGCATTTCTTCCCGGGAAGGACTTCAAATGGAAGCAACAGCCTTGGCGTGAAGTTTCCGAAGAGGGCAGGACTGCTTTGGGTCACTCGAGGATTCGTTTTTATTGCATTATTCCAAGCCTTTTGTCCTCGAGATTGTGCTGTATTGTGGGCCTGGGAAGTGTATTTAGACTAAATTTAATAAATATTTTATGTGGTTGTTGGTAATGTATTACTGGCAACGCGAAAGTAATTAAAGTTTTTTATGTGAAACCAAGATAAACTACCCGCGCAAACAAGTTGCTTTGGGATCGATTTTTCAATTAGTAATACTAGCTACTGACCAGCAATTCATCAAGGGAGTTAAAAGTTCATTAGGATGTGAAATTTTATAATAGAAATTTAGTAAATCTGTGCTTTGAGTTGAGGTATAAGTGGTGAACATGTTTTAATAACATTGTTTTTCATTATTTCAAGGAATTTACAAAAAAAGTGATTTTATAATAGAAATTTGGTAAACCAATGCTTTGAGTTGCAGTACAAGTGGCGAACATACTTCAATAACTTAAAAAATTTTTGTTAAATTATTTAGACATAAATAAATATCTTCAAATTGACTTTTTTCCAAATCAAACATTTTTCGACTACATGAATTTGGAAAAATTAAAAAAGTTGATATACTTGCGCTGAGTACGAAGATCTGAAACGAACCTTCGTCATGTTCGACACGCTGAGTGTGCAGTTTTCGAAATCTGAAATCGCAGTTTTCTTTCACACGTGAAAATCTCGTCGATTTCCAAATGTTTGCGCTTGAATTTGATTTCCGCGCCAAAAGTATCAAATTTCAACATATCATATTCACTTGTGTGAAATATCAACATTAAAATTTTACACCTATATTTGAAGCGTGTGAAGTGTTTTAAACATTTTCCGGCGCTTTGTTTCCGTATCTTCTCATCCCCAATAGAGCGCCAATGTTTGATCATTCGTCTTGAGTGAACTTTGCACTTTATTCTTGGCCGTTCATCCACTTCCACTCACTGCGTCTGAAGCTTCGGGCTTCAAGGCTTTTTTGGGTCCTCTCGCATTTCGGCGTGTCCCCAGCTCGTTTTTTCAGTGTCGGCGTCACTATAGTATATCAAGAGGATATATGTCTCGCAAAGGAAACGCCGATTTGGCAGAGAGTATATTGTTTTCGCTGCTTTATTTCCTTGTTTTTTTTTCGTATCCAGAGGCAACAAGTTATCTATATTCTGTAATTCATTCATCGAGTCAAAAACATGTGTATGCTTTGAAGTGTGTGAAAAACTGTAATTGCAAAAGGGTCAAAATCCTTTTGAAATTTTTGGCAATTGAAATAATTGTTTTTCCTTTTTTAATTTCAGAATTAATCTCTTCAAATCGAAGAGAACTCCCTTGAAAAAAAAACGCTCACGTACACACAACGAAATGCCAACGCTGAGCAGTCTGAAGAGTGCGCTGGGACATGCGGCGGCAGCGGCGGCGACCGCCTCCACGTCCGTCACGCTTCATATCAACGACGTCGTCCAGGTGGAAGTGGCCCAAGGTAAGCCCAATAACACCAGCAGTTGCACATAAAGTAATTTCAATTCAATTAATTTGTACCTACTCTACAGTTTAACTCCCGGAACAACAATCTGCCACACATTTCACTTGCGTTATTATTGTTGATTGTTTGCGGCAATTTCAATTTCAATTATATCGCGCGCCTTCTCTTTCCCTCTCCGCGAACATTTCGGGCCAAAAATTAAAGCGGATAATGTTTGTTGTTTCAACAACTGGAGGTGCCATCATGCGGAATTTATAATTTGTTTACGAGGCGGGCGCGCGCAGCGGGAGCCGCAAAAAATTATTTTAATTCGCGCCGCAGCGGAGGTCCGCACGTGCGGAAAAAGTAATTAGGGATTACGATTTGCGTGGAATATGAATGTGTGTTTAGAAATAAAATTATGCGATTTGGCGCATCACGTAAAGTGAAACTTTTTACAACTGTGATTATTACACATGCAGAGTTACGGTAATTTTAATAAAAATACGTTTAAGAGAATAATTTATGTATCAAAACATTGAAAATAGGTACATTAAGTATCAAGTGAGTAAACCTGAGTTTTAGTCACGAGATTTATTAAGAGCGAGGGTAGCTAGTGTTTAATCAATCTTGTGTTTAACAACGTTTAGCCACGTGAAGCTTACGCTATTTTTTTCACGTGTAGGTTTTTATTGTTGTGGCTAAAGGCCGTGTCTAAAGCCCGTGACTAAAGTACAAAACCGTAGAAAAACTGTCGTTTTAAAGCTGGGAGCAAAAAAATTCAATTCATAATAAAATTCTACAAGAATTGAATTTGAATCAAAGCAATATTTGATTATTTGCAATAAAATTTCAAGAAAATATTATTCAATAACGATTATATTGGCGATGTATTATTTTTACGTTTCCGCCTGTGTTCCATATTGAAGGCGGTGGACGAGCATGAAAAAGTACCTTGGGAAAATTTAATAAAATATGAGCGTTTGATGGACTCCGCTGATACACTCTGCTCGACCGAAAACCGCTGCGGAAACAGCTTTTTTCTCTTCCACATAACTTTTCCTACTCCACATCGCCTCCTAGGTATCATTTATAATATATATGAACCGCATAACCGAAAATACGCCGCGCACATCGGCTACAAATTCATATCGATGTATATCGAAGTTTGAGTGTACGGGGCAGCAAACAGGAAACTAAGAAACGATCGTTTCTGTTTCGTACATCTTTTTATATTTTGTATCCTACACAAGAGAAATGCATTGTTTATGATGCAACATGGATGCTTTTAAAATTTTGTTTTATTAATTTTTTAAATATTAAAATTTTTGGAGTAAAAATTTAAAATTATCATTTTGTAGCTGACCCCATTCTGAAAGTGAATATAAAAGATGCATTGTTATCTCTCACACAAAAGATGCTACAAAATGTAATGTAACACCTTTTCACATTTTTCTCACGAAACATATATTATGCGCAATGACGCGCATTTGTAACTGCGACACATCGCAGTTTTGCTATCGTCTGGAAAATTTTAATTAAACGCTACTTGCACTCGCTTCCGTACAGGCCGTAAAAACATAGTGTTGAGAGTGTAAAGAAATATAAATCTCGCGCGTAAAAGTGCAAATAATGATGACGTCTCCTCATTTTTCAGATGACTTGCAGGAATTCCCGCCGTCGTCCTCGTGGGGTGACGCGGGTGTTGTGGACCTGGGCAATTCCTTGCGCATCTCGTCGCCGGACGACTTTCTCGGCTTGAATCTCTCGCTATTAAACTACACGCTCAACGGGACCGGCTACAACGAGACGGCGCAGGCCGACGACGGCGAGGCACTCGCGGACCTGATTCTCATGGGCGTCATCTCGGTGCTTCTCGGTCTCATGATACTCGTCACCGTAATCGGTAAGCATTAAATTGTTCAATTTTCAGGTGTCCTCTTTTACGCCAACACATGAAACTTGATATTAGGCTATTTTTTTTTTCTTAAATAAAATTATTTTATACATATGCAACTCAAAATACATTTTTTATGTATTATGTGTTGCCTACTGGTATAAAAATAGCTTAGTCATTTAATTGAAGCATTAAGAGACTGCTTGCGAATGTTGAGAAATTATCACTGCTGTTTTTTACGATTGCGAAAATCCCTAAAAGCCCAAAAACTTTCCGTCCCTACGGGGCACACTTGGAAACGTAATACCAAACAAGCGACCGTAATTAATGAGATTTAATATCAAAGCGTTTTTTGTCCGTATTTTATTTTCGTAAAAGAGTTACACAATCAACCCCAATTAAATTCCGTTTTTGTATCGACGGCGGCCGGCTTTCAATCTCAGACGGTTTGTGTGTCAGAAAGTTAGATTAGTACCGTATTAATTATTTAAAATACACGGAGCTAAGTTGCAAGACCGAAGTGCGGGCGAAACTCATCTCGGAGTTTAGCATTGAGCCGACGCCTTAATACCCCAACATATTTGGGGATGTTCCAGTGTTCGAATGGCACGGATTAGTCCTCGGTATTCGTTTGGTACCATGTTCTGGTAATTGCATACGACGCGCTAACATGCAAATTGAAATTTCCCGAATTGATTCTCGTCGTTTTGGCGAATCAATGCGCCATTGTTGAGATACACGATATAAAAAGCGTGCAATAGCAAGGAAATACTCGTAAAACTGCGTCGATACGATGGCAAAAAGAGAGCGTTAAATTACGACAAATTGCAGAGGGAACTTTCAACTGCGCGCTTAATTAATTAATCCGCAAAGTATTTTCGCCAATGTATTTTTATTCCGCTTCGAGCGCACGGATTAGTACCGGCGATAAATTAAAGTACCATGCTGAAATTATAAAGTAAATTGTGGTTGGTACGATTCGTATGTTAAAATCTACTTTAGCTTTACGTCTTTAAATACTAATTTTTCAAATTTATTCTTAATAATAAAAATGTAATGCAATTTTTATTTTTATTGGCAACTAAAACTACAGAAAGCAGATTTTTGACTGGGGATTATTTTAAATCTTGAAACAAAGTAGTGCTTCCGTGAAATTCGTACCTATAAAATATAATCTCATTACCGGTGAAATCAAGCCGCTGCGTATACACTGAAATATTCACGAGAAAAGGAGCGTGCCGTAAATCTTGGACCGTCCTTTCTGAATGTCTAATATAGAGGAGTACTGCTGCTCGCGAGAGTTGCGCTGTGCAATGATTCAGTAGCCGCAATCATATTCGCGATTTTACGCCCGTCTGCATTTTATACTTTTGTCCCCATTTAGCAGCGTTTACGTTTAGAGTTTAGAAGCAGGTTGGGAGTTGATGCGGTGTGCATTTATCGCACATGAGTATATTTAAAATTAGACTCATTCAGATGGAAAGCATGAGAAAATCTTAGAATTTATATACCTACATACTGTAATAATTGGTAGGAATAATTAATATAGAGAAGGTTAATGTAAAGTATTAGGTTTTATCCTGCGAATTAACAATCAATAAGGGTTAAACCTGCAATTTGCACCGAATACACTTTTAAGACAGTTTTTCCCAAGTTTTTAGACACAAAAAGCGGAATTTTAAATACGCACAACCAAGGCCGGGACTAAAGTACTTTAATCACAGGTTTTAGTCACGAGCTTGCGCCTACCCGTTTGTATACGGTGCAGCATTAAGTAATTATTACTTTTCCATTTGTTTGTTTAAAAATCAAGAAAAACAGATTTTTCAAGCAATTTTTCTCTAAATAAACATCCAAAAAACGATTTTTCTTTAATAGTGTTTATGCAGTATGTTATCCCCCGGGAAGAATCTATTTCATCCAAATATGATTACCATTTTTATGATGTCCATTTTATATAAATTACACTAACGCTACCACTGACGCGTCCCTTGATAAGAACATCAATTTTACTGCACTATCCACCCGCCGGCGCGCAAATCACAATATCGGCTAAAGTGCATATTGCCAAGTTACGTAGGCGCTTTTCGCATCGACATCGCCTCATCCTGCTTACATCCGCAAATGTGAAGGCATCCCCAACGTCGACATATTCTTACACTAAGAAAATCTGCAACATGCAACATACAAAACATGCAAAACGCAGAGAAATCGTTTTCCCGTTTGCAGAAATGAAATTCACAGAAAACGATACCACGCTGCGAGATTGTAAGACGCGGCGCACAAACACGATTTTAAAAGAACAGCAGATTTTCAAAGAATCCTCCCAAACACGGCTTACAAATCAACCCAAAATGCGTTTGCAAGAGCCGAGAAGAGCGTATCGCGTATTCTTATCGCATGCTACAATAGTTTCTCGAAATCGAAGCGGAGTGAAAACTGAGAATGGGATGAGAGTGGGTGGCGTGCGCGTGGTGTTCAAAGCGTTTTGTCGTTGGTACAAGTTGGGATGTTGGACGTCGTACGGGTGGTTAACATCGATTGGATCGAAACCAATTCGCCGTGAAAACAGTATCAATGGTCCGAGCGAGGTATAAATCCATTTGCATCGGTTCGATTTGCTTGGAACGTTTCATTCTTCGGATTGAATCGAAACACACCACAAACACACGAATTTTATTTATTCTTTGCTGATATGTATCTAAAACAAAGACTGTTGCTCTTGACTGTGACCTAAATATAATGACAGGTAAAATATCATCGGAGCGTGTACACATGACACGCGCATTAGTCACATGACCAGAGATTAGTGATCAGTTCATTGAACAAAATGTTTTTGGTGTATGTTTACAGGAAACGTGTTTGTGATAGCCGCCATTTTGCTGGAGAGGAATCTCCAGAATGTCGCCAACTATCTGATCGTCTCGCTGGCCGTCGCCGATCTGATGGTCGCCTGCCTCGTGATGCCCCTGGGCGCCGTCTACGTGGTGAGTGCTGCCTCCTCGTGCATGCTGCGCAAACATCAATATTTATTTTCACTCGGTGCGTGCAAACAGGCGCGGATTTGAATCGCGGCTCGCGACGCCCGCGGGCTGCATTACAATGCAAACATGAACTCTTCACACATTCTAATGCGGTGAGCGCGCGCAAAACCCAAAAGCTGAAAGTCAAGTCGGGACGGAATCGAACATTTCCTTCATCCGATATGATAATTGAATATGCATTGCATACTCATTTTGATTTGAGCTTTTAGAGCAGCGAGATTAGATGCTTGCGATGAAAATTCAAGTCAAAACGTTTGTTGACTCTGTCTGTCTGTCGATATAGCGCCTGTTCGTTGTGATGGATTGCCGTTGGTAATTGACTTATTATGTAAATAACTGCGCGAACGAGTCCCGCGTCAATCCAACCCTTCGGAGTCAGTCTCCCAGCCCCCGCCATCGAAATCTTAGGGCGCGCAAGTTTCACGCGAACGCCCGCATCACCTCTTCGAGTTGATCTCGCGCTCACCAAATTACTTGTAATTTAGTTGGGCGTTGAGAGTGTGTAGTGTGCATGAGCGCAGCTTTTCCATCATCGGCGGCATGCGTCACTGTTTTCGATAACGTTAATCGCCGATTCACGCGCCACCAGCACGAAATTGTAACAAGCAGGTGTATTTTGGTGTTTGGCATGATGTAAATTGAATTTAGATAAATTCAATTTTGGAAAATAATAACATTTGACGTCATCGCACTGCTATTATAGATGATTTTGTTTTCTAACGCAAATATTTAAACAAAATAACAATACAAATTGTTTTTGTCTGGGGCGGAAAAGAAAAAGACGCGTGTATGGTGCGACAATGTAAATAAAACGTTTTTGTATAGATTTCTCAGCCGGTTGGGAACTTTGGGCTGCGCGAACTTTTCCCGTCCGTTTGCTGTTTGCGAACAACAACTATTTATCTTAGCATCTCGCTTTCTGCGCGTCCACTTTCCGATGCGTTCGTCCTGCCGCGCCTCGCCTGTCACCTAGATTCAGCAGCGCCGGCATTTATTGCTTTCCGTCCTGTTGCTGCCCCGCCATTCTTCCAATAAGTTAAATAACAAATCCGGAACGCATCGAGACCCCGAGACCTACGACCATCAGTTGCGTCGGATAACGACAGCTCACAGTTTTCCACGTTTTCGCCCTTTATGTGCGAGTGTATATGCGTGTGAATGTGTGCAATTGTCGTCCTGTCGTTTCTCGCCACCGCACACATTCGCCAAACAATCCAAACATCTGAACGTAAACGGTTTAGGGCTGAAAGTATCTCTGTCGTTGTTGATTTTTTCCCCGTCGGGCTCGAGTTACGCAAGCGTTACACACGCGAGTGATCGTGAATTGTTCGGGAAGTTTTGCGCAGCGCTACGAAGACGGAAGAGATCGTCCAAGGCTGTGCGCGATTTTAAAAGTCCATCGAGCTAATGGAATTTACGAAAAGCGTGCGGGCACAGCACCGAGGTCGGAATGAAACACTCTATTCGTTGGCGGGGAGCGAGCGGAACCGACTAACGGAAAGGGTCAAAACGACGCAACTTATTCGATGCGCCCCAGCGTCGATATCTATTATTTTCCTTCACCTACTGAATTAAACAAGGCCCTTTTATGCCGCTCTCTGATCGCCGGCCTGGTAGTCTAAGAAAACTGCGACGAATATAAACGCAGAGTCATTATTCTTTTATTTTATTTTTTCGTCAAGAGGATACTAAACAACACTATAACTGGTGTATTGTGCAAGATTTGAGAGAGATTTGATGCGTGAATGAGGAATTTTTTATACTTGGTCTCAAGAAAAAACGTAATAATTTTATTTTTGGGATGAAATAGATTTTTAAAGCAAAAATTACATATTGTTACTTTTTTCAACTACAAATGAAAATCATGAATAAGATTTTAGATTTAAATGTTTTCTTTTGTTTGCGGTTGGCCTTTGTAACGCGAAATTTGTAAATTAAACAAGATTTGGGCGCACAGCGGAAGAAAACTTTTAAATTGAATGAATGAAAAGCGGGATGCAAAACGAGAAAAGCTTTGTTGTCAACGACACCGCGCACGCCAAGACACAATTTAAATGCGCGAATAAATTGCATTTCTTCGATTGTTTCTTATTATTGTTTTATTAATTTAAACCAAGTGCAAAAAACATCTTCTAAGGAAAGTAAACTAATGAAATTTTTATGCATCAAATTGGCGTATCATGTCTTAATCCTTTCAGGTTAATAAATATTAATGTCGAGCACGCCGGCGCTCATTTAATATGTAAAAAAACGCGGAACGTGGAACTTAAACTTTGCCAAACTTAATTCTCTCGGCGCGCCGGAATTCGGCAGATGAAAATTTAAAAAAGAGGTCACTTTGAATATGATGAATTTATTACCTAATACTACATAAGCAGCGAATGATTAATTTGGTCTCGGGCGAGCAGAGCGCCGCAGAGCTTAATATTCATAATTAAAAATTTTTGGAAATTAATCAGTGAAATGTCGTAGGTATGGATATTTTTTCTCGTGTTTCACTTTGTGAAACTTTACAAGATTACACAGAAACTTTACGGAATAATCCGAAAACTTTAAGTAATTTTTCAAACTTCAGGCTTTCGGAATTAATTTACTTCGTTTTGAAACAATAATACGCGTCGGTAAATTTCGCATCTTGTTGTAAGATATTCACTCAAGTGATGGGGACAAGCGTGACAATGAGGGGAATTACGAAAGGCTTAAGTGTCTAATTATTTTTTTTGCGCTGCACATTATCGCTGTCCTTTGCGCTCCAATTTGCAGCCAAAAATTACTTAAAAAACAGGCGTAATTATTTCAGCATTAAAAGCTTTAAGTGCTCTTCGGGTGATAGCCTTAAAGCAATTAAAGCGTTTTCTCTTTCGGGTCGCCTAACTCGTTCGGAAACGAGGTGCTGTCGGTGTTTTCTTTTGTCGCTTGTAATTGGCGTTTAATGAACCGCTCCAACGTTGATAATTGCGGTATATTGCGGCTGGAAAAATTAATATTTTAGCAACAAATGAATTATGAAAAGTGAAAATGAAAAATGTGCATATTTAGTTGCATACATTAAATATTAACAAGAAAAATCTTTTATTTGTATTTTATAAAATATTAGTTTTTATTCTGAACTTTTTCAGTCTAAATTTTTATAAAACAAAAGCCTAATTAATTAATTTCTTGTTTCATAGAACAATTATATACCGAATACGCTAGTAAGATTCCGAATTATATTTTAGAAACCCGAGAAATACTAAAATTGCGTCATACAAACTTTCATCTTTTATTTTACGCCCTTTAACATAATTTTTTACAACAAAAAGTTGTCTATTTGAATTTCCTCGACTAAAACAATCTCTATACCAAAATTTATCAACATTGGTTCAGTGGTTTTCACGGGAAAGCGAAACAGACAAACAAATTTTCTTTTATAATATTAGCTGTATAATATATATTAATATATGAATCACAATTAGTTTGATTAAAAATATACATTAAATTTCTGGCATATAATGAACATTAAGCTGCATATTTCAACTTATGCATGTCTGGGAGTGTTTTGTTCAGCAAGTAATTCATTGTAAGTGACGTTTCGACAAAAACGCCACTGAATATTCATCACCCAGCGTTCGTCGCATTTGAGTGCATTTGTAATTACATAATTGCCTAGCATGACAATTCTACAATACGACAAATGTGGCTTTATCGTAACAAGTTGACATTTATTTATGTTTGCAAAAACGTGGGCGTCTTTTTTTATTTAACCGAATTTACACCAACGCACAGCAAAATATATTACATAATTTAATTTGATATTTATATGTAAGTATATGTAGAAGCTTGGAACCACTTTGCTTAAAACACCCACTCAAAATTTCAGGTGTAAAATGTATTTTTGGTGGCGTGGCGCTCTTTCATGTCGGAATAGAAGTTTATTAACTCATCGCGCAGAAACTTCATTACGAAGTTATTCACAACTAGAGTTATAAATTATGCGACGTTGTCTACAATTAAAGTTTATTACTTTATTATTATGTTGAATTGTGAAGCAAAATAAGTTTTAATTAAGTTTTATGTTTATGCGTGTGTTTTCCTAAAAAGAAAACGTTTTCCTTTGAGACAAATTGAAAGCAAAAAAAAAGCAGCGCTCTCACTTGAATGCTTTTAATTGAATACACTTTAGCTTGTAGTAACAACACTGAGTGTATTCATAGCGTTTTTATGCATACAAATGTTGTTAAAAAATTCAACAAAAAATACAAACACCTACGAGTATTATCAAAGAGATATGCAAATGTATGTGACTGGGTCGTGGTGGAGGTGCCGGGCGTTATTTTCATGCGTTGTCCGGCATCTTAGTCTTGGGCATCCGGTCGTTTTTTTTCCAGGCGTGTATTGCTCGAGTTCAAGTACATTTTTTGTTATGTCCGCATTACATTACATTCTTTTTGTGCTACACGTCCGGATTTACATTTTAATTTAATTTTTCCATTCGCTGAGCCTCTCGCAGCCACCGGAATAATTTCAGCATGCCTCTCAAAGCATCATTCTGCCTCGAAGAGCGGTGTTTACGCGTATGTTTCGTGAAACGTAATTATGACAGTAATGAGATGCCAACTCAAGATTTCTTTGTTTCGAAATTATTTCATTATCGCATTTGCATTGGAAATTCTATTTTAAGAAATTTAAACGTATTTATTCTTATTATTTCGTTTAGAAAATAAGACAGTGTTTAAATATAAAATATAACTTTCTAGGAATTTAAATTTCCTAACTTTTCAAAACAAATTCATTTATTTGACGATAGCATTATGTTGCAAAACCCGTCTTAGATTTGTAATATAAAAATTAATCGCAAAATCTGTTGGTACGCGCATAATTCAACAACGCCTAGAGCAATTTAGCCAATTCTTTTTTTAAATATATGTTAAAGTCTAAGGATGGTTTTTACGGCGAGGAAAATTCGAATAATTGCCGAGAAAACCCTAAAGACAACCCTTTTCTATCGGATTAAAGTTGGCATTGAGATTCATCATAGTTATAGTTACATAGTTGAATCCGAGAGGGCGCGCTGAAGTGCATTATTGGCAATTCTATATATAATTAATTTCTTTAAAATAAAATTGCAATTCTTATTGACAGAATTGTGAGATACAATGTCTAGAACAAGAGAGTAAAACGAATTACATTTTTATTAAACACTACCGGGACGAAGTCGCAGGCAGAAGCTAATTTTATTATAAAAATTTGTAAAATGTGAAAATTTCACCACGTAAACGTCGCTACTATTTAAATTTTAAGAGATAGATCAGTTTATGGTTATAAAGAAGAAATACGATAGTGTACAGTCAAGGTCAAACAATTTCCGAAAATAACCTCGTCGAACATTGTGCCGTCAGGCGAAAGGAGACCGTATAGATAACCAATTAGGTGTCGGTGTCTATCGCGTTCATCCCGGTTAAGCCGAGCATAAACAGTACACCCAGAGCGCGTCTTAAAGTGGGCTAATGCGTTGCCTCGAACTGGGTCGGCGCTGGGTGCTGTGTTTATCCGCGTCGGCCATTCAGCTATAAGACAAACACCACATCGAGAGGAAACTCCGCGCCGGTTAAATTTGATGTTGATTTTGGCAGGAAAACGTATGCACTACAACTACACCTAGACTAGAAACTACATAACTTTTAATATGAAAACTAAAAACAACTGCAAATAGGAAAAGTTCTAACTTATAACATGCTTGCCGTGCTTTCGTTTTCTTTGTTGGCAGATATATAACTACGCAGTTTTTTTCCTTTCTCAATTAGAATGTAGAATGGAAGCACGTCGCGTTGTACTGGAGTGGAAAAGTTGACATTAGAAATATGCAAATTTAGTTTTTACTGCAATTTTGCTGGCGTGGCGACACTCTCTCGTGTTGTTTGAATTATCAAGAAATGCAAATGATGTCAATGCGGAACGGGGACTAGAGATAAGTAAAGCAAAAAGTTGGGCAGTAGCATCCGGGTTTCTACAGGTTTTGGGTTTTATTTGGGTTAAAATATATTCTTTTTAAATCACTTTTGTTTGTTGTAGGTAAGAAAAAATAATAAAATAATAAAACTTGATCATTGTTAGAGCGTCCGCATTGTGTATTGTAACTAATTTTGTTTGTTTGCGTTTGTTTGTTCAGCTTTCAAGCAAAAACCATTGAACGAATTTTGATAAATTTTGGTACTAAGATATTTCTGATCCAGGAAAAGCAAATAGGATAGTTTTTATTGTAAAAATACAACTAAAAGGGTGTAAAATAAGGGAGGAAAGTTTTAGTTGTTAAAATTTGCTTTTTTAATTTTTTTTAGATAATTTTACCGAGTAAATAAGTCGATAATTAGTTATTTTTATTAACATTCACGCGGAAAAACATTTTTTTAATACCATTTGACCACGACTCTTCTTTCGCTGTTGCCCCAGGTGAAATATTACCACAGTTAGGTAGGTTTTACGTGCCGGGAATAATTTGGTGGTTGTTTGAATCATGCTGTTGCCACATTCGCCGGTCGTAACTTTTTCCAACCCTATTCGAAAAGGCAACACTACAATTTTCACCAAATCCGGATGTTATTTGCTCTCCATAAACCCAACTCTGAATAGTTACTTAGTTACGCACCTCCCCTAACAGATTTTTTATTTACGAATGTGGTTAAGAAAATATGTTAAATATTTAAAAATAATATTGAAACCACCAAAAATGTTTCCATCCATCTTTAAAGCAAATAGTCCAGGAGATATTTGTGTTATTACAGTTGTGGGCTACTACAATTGATCCCAGTTTTTCCGAAATTCTCCAGTTTGCTGGTTCCAACTGTAATCGCACGTAAATACTGGACTAAAAGCGCAAGCCTGCCAGCGCGCCCAAAATTCGACTATTTATTGTTTCAATAAATCACGCGGCACCCTTTTACGCTCACTTTCCCATTTCCGGCCATTGCAAATAACGCAAAACCACCCGGCCCCCATAAGCGAATATCTTCTTTGTGGCGGCACTATAGTCATCGTCGTCATGTCACGAAATGGCTAATCAAGGATATGAGGCAATTAACAGCAACGAGTTTAACAATTACGGTTGAAATTCACTCCCAGCTCACAACGTTTGATGTGTATAATTAACCGCCGGCGAAGTTGCTAAGTTTAACGATCCGACTCGTTTCCAGATAAGCAATAATTGGATAATGGGCCCCGAAGTCTGCGACATGTGGACTACCATCGATGTGATGTGCTGCACGGCGTCCATCTTGCATCTGGTCGCCATTGCAATGGACAGGTAAGTGGTGCATAAGAGATGCACTCATAATAGATTCTATTATGTGTTGTGTTGTGTGGTGAAAGCCTGTAAAATATGCACGAGATAAATTTGAATTATTTTATTTTTTACGTTTTGAAACCTACGCTGAGGGCGTGCGGGAATTCAGTGTTGCGCTTCGGTAATGGTTTCCTCGATGTTTGCGGCCGCACTAATGCACGCATTATAACCGCACTCTTTATTATAACGAAGCATCATCGCTTATGGCATCACCTCTCTGACGCAGTGTGTCGGAGCATAATCAATACACATTCTTGTTGTATACCCAGGAACGCCACAGGCGTCACCGATGCTACCACCTGAATTCATATCTATCTCCACCATAAATCTTTCGGATGCATTTTTTTCCCAGTGTCATCATGATCATCGATTTTTAGGTTATGCGCTGTTGTCATATACCGCACATTACATAACCTATTTTTTGTTGGAGTTTATATCGGAACACTATGTATTATTTGACGCTGGGCTTTATGAAGCCGATCTATAATATACATTGATTTAATGGGAGTTCCGGGTCTGATGTACACGTTTCGCCGCCATGCACTGTTTGTCAAGAGAGTGCACTCGGCGCGCTCGAGTTTCGGCTTCAAGCGCACTTAACTACAGCGCTGTGACGATACTCTAACCACCAGGACAAACACCATCGTGGTGGTCTTACAAACGTTCGCAAGTCAGTGGAGAGAATTTTACCCGTCGTCTCTCGGATTGTTTACGCAAGAAGTTTAATCATTTTCATTCTAAATTATTAACTCAAGCCGAAGTTCTTTTCCTTCGTGGTCACGGCCCACACCGCCGGGTCGAGATGGAAATATTAAAGCAGCGTACAATTGCATCCATTAAAATTTTATTTCGAGTGCGGTTTGTGCGAGCGCACGTACATTTGTTGCACGGCTCCCCGCTTCCAATTTGTTATCTGCGTGCATCCGCTGCACTAAAAGCATTTAAATTGCTTCTGGGTTTTTTTTTGCAACTTTTGGACGCGCTACGAAAACATTGGGTTTTGCTGGATGTTTGGCTTTGCTGTTTCTATCAAACTGGAGGATTTAGTCTGAAATATTGATGTTTTTTTGTGTTTGTACAGATATTGGGCTGTCACAAACGTGGTATATTCAAGAGACTCGAACCGGATCATCATCATGATTGTGATGATCTGGAGCGTGGCGCTGGTCGTCTCCCTGGCGCCACAGATTCCTCAGTTTGGTTGGAAGGACCCCGATTACCTGAACCGCATCAACGTCAAGAAACAGTGTCTGGTTAGTCAGGACGTAGGATATCAGATATTTGCAACTTCTTCAACGTTTTATGTCCCTTTATTGGTCATATTTATTCTCTACTGGAAGATTTTCCAAACAGCGCGTAAACGTATCCGGAAACGACGTGAAATGCGAAATCACAATATGGAGAAACCAAGTGATGCAGGTAGAAGCAACAATAATGCTCGTAACTTCCTTACGAAACGCCGTTTCCTACGAATGAAGAAATCAGCGAAAAAGTCGACGGCCGCTGAAGCCTTAGTATCGTCACTTGTGATGATGGAAGGCCAGTCGACGACAACGATGGACGTTGTGATGGAGGAAGCCGAGCAACAACAACCGCAACAGGCGAATGGCAACCACGCCGAGGAAACAACAGCGTTTACTATTACAAAACCCGGAAAAGTGGATAACATGGTTGTGTCGAACAATGTAAGTCCGGAAAAGACGTCCACGGGGACGACGAACAACGGCTCAGCGAGTCATCAGAGTCACATCAGTGACATTAGTCGTGTAGAAGCTGCTTGCCCAGCGGAGAAACTGCTACCACCAGTGAAAAAAGACAAAAAGGAAACACTCGAAGCAAAACGCGAGCGCAAAGCGGCGAAAACACTGGCGATCATCACCGGCGCATTCGTCATGTGCTGGTTGCCCTTCTTCATACTCGCACTGTTGATGCCACTGTGCGGCGAGCAGTGCTCGATATCACCCTACGTGATATCCTTTTCACTATGGCTGGGCTACTTCAACTCGACGCTCAATCCAGTCATCTACACCATATTCAATCCGGAATTCCGGCAGGCTTTCAAACGAATACTGTGCGGTCAGCACGTCGGGCGGCGAGGCCGCGGCGGTGGCGGAGGCGGTCGCGGTCAAAATTTCAGATCGGCTAAAGTCGGCTAGGCGAAAGTGCGTCTCTACCCAACTCACTCCATGATGAACGCTCAATATGCGCTTGTGCGAGACATTCCAGTCTAACCAATTTCGTCCTCAATTACAAATATAATTCGCTCGTGTAAATAGTTAGTGACTGTTCAAACTAACATAGACATAAGTACGTGTAACAGAATAATGCATATACATATATATTTTCGTTATTGTAAGAAAATGGTGTCCAAAACATGGGTATAGATATATTAGGTTTGGTTGATATTTTACACGTTCCTGATGAAACGCTACAAATGTCTTTCGGATAGTGTAAATATATATTAAATAAGATAGGTTATAGTAGTTGATAAGTTAGGTTATAAACTTGCAAAAGAACCGCAATGAGGTAGAAAACAAACAAAAAGCAAAAACTTAACTAGTGCGTTAATTTTCCTAACGCTCGCCACATTAACAGTTAATTTTGCAGCATGCAGCGATTTTGCTAGTAGCAACAAACCGTGCATCTCTTTTATCATGGTGATGATGATAATAAAGCTGTATAAAACCGACGCCGCGGACGTAATTTATCAACGCAGTCAGCAACAAAAAGTATTGCACAATACAGGACTCTCTAGTCTCTCTAGTACATTCCGTAAAATTTCATTTTTAGCTTGAGACGCGATGACATATGACGTTATCCTCGCTCAACGCGCTCAACACTTCTCCAAGAGTCCGCGTCTCGGTCGGCTCATATATTCGCGCGCACGTCTCGCGGAACATAAATAAAACGCTAAAAAAGGCGCGCGCAAAAAGAAACGCGCGTTGATGAGACAACAGTGGCGGACTTTAAGTAGACATTGATTGATAAAGTACACCATCAAAATTTAGATTATCGAGTGATATTTTGTGTTTTATTATTTATTATGCTCATCATGTACATGCGTTGCAAAAACGTTGTTTTTTTACTGCTGCTCGTTTTAAAATTCATCAAAAAATATAATAACAAAGAGTAATAACTTGAAGTTGAACTCAGGAAAAAGTTAACCTTTTAAATTTCAACGGTAGAGACATAAAACAAGCTGTAAAAGTATTGAAAAGTGTTAGATAAGTTTTTAGTTAGTGGAAATTTAATATTTTTTATTGCTTTTTAATATTTGAGTATTGAAGATATTGGTAAACACCACAATATTTGTTCAGTAAATGTGTACAGTATGAGGCATTAACACTACATATTTTAAGTCATGAATAGCATAGATTTTGGAATAATTATTATTTTTAGTTTATTGACGTTTTAGATATGAATATTTTATTTAATGTTTACACGCAATCTTCTTTGTCATTTTTTGTCCACCAGCGTTTAAAACTAATGTTATTAATCTTACGTTAAATATGAATATTCAAATGAAATGCAACGAGTTGATGCGATTACAACCAGCTTGTTCAATGACCTGAAACACCAACGTTTTTGTTACCAATTTATGCTGGTGGACAAAAAATAACTCAAAAATGTTTTGTTCGGTACACATTGAAAAACAAATAATCTAGATAGCAATCAATGAAAAAAAATTAATTTCGTTCTTGAATGTGATAATATACGTAAATCTTAAGCATCCATTAATCGAACGTGAAATCAACGTAAATATACCTAAATCAAAAGAGATAGTAAATATTATAAATTCAAAACTCTTCAAAAATCTCCCAAGTTTTACTAAACTAAACGTATCGCCGTCTATTCGTACGCTTTCCACATTCAAACATTTATATTATAAGAAACTTCGCGAAATGTATAGCTTAATATTACTGCTTGAATTCTGCCTGTATGTTCACTAACAAATCGTTATTTAAAATATTGTGATAATAATAAATGTTAGGCGGGGAAAGTGAACTGTTTTTATATTAAAAACAACTATGATTAAGCATAAAACAAGAGTGCAACTGCGTTGTCATGAAAAGTCATAGTCATCGTAAACACATTTCATCAATTCTCATCAAATTGATGACGATGACTATTCATCTCACAATTTGGCTGTTAATCTTGAAACATATGCACGATAATCATACCCAATATTAATTGAGCCTAGATATTGGTGTATGGTGTTCGAGCATTGCCACCATGTAACATATAACCTAAAAGACACACCTAACCTAATTTATATAACCAAACACTCAACACAATATACAATACACAATGAATTTTAGCGAGATAAGCAAAGCGAATCGCAAGGTGCGAACCAAATGTAAATAACATTGATTAAATATTAATCAAGTCTATAATAATAATTAAACCGATGATTCTATTGTACAATATAATATGCATAGTAAATTGATGTGTGTTATAATTAATTAATTCGGTTGGTTTGCGTTTGTAAAAATGTACACAATGAACAGAACTCTGTAAATACTAGCTGAGTATTATATATGAATTTGTTTGTGAATTTGAATAACGTATATTTGTACATAATGTTATTGAACATTGCCCAAAATATTTGTTAAGTATACTTGAAATAAAATCTATCAAGTCAAAAATACTATATGTACGTGAGGGGCAAACAAAATATAGATATCGAAAGCCGATCAAATATTTGAACGAGCAAATGTTATCAGGCTGGTTATTCGATGTGTGTACAGATGTAAATAAAAATGACCGAGCGTAATGTTACCACAGATATATCAAAGTATCTCTAATAATAATTAATAATATGATAATATAGTCGGTGTGTTTGTTCCAACACGAGCCACAGGATGACTAAATGGATTCATAGCTTTAATAAAACTGAATAAATGTTTAAGCCAGCTTTGACATTACAACTTAACCTTTAAAAATGTTTTGAGTTTATAATTGAGGTTATGACATGAAAAGTTTTATTGTTATTATCAAACATATGAAATCTAGACTATAAAGAAAGATCCTCTCGTTTTGTTGTTAACAATAATGATAAATTTAAATTAATATTGAACTCGTATTGTGATATACAAGATGTATAAAGATTATACATGCAAACCCACAACCAAAATTCAAACAAACAGGAAGAGAAAACATGATATTCGCCCCTCAGATTTTCACCTAAATGTTACTTAACGCTACAACTCTAGAGATGATAAAATTGTGAACTAATAAACCTAGCGATTCTCATTGTGTGTTTAGATGCATAATTATGATGTATGTGCTGTATCTCTCTATTAATCGGATCCTGAATCGAGCGGACGAGTTACGAATCGAATCAAATCGAAAGTAATCAATGTGAATTATGTAAAATATATAAACTAAACAGCGGTGTATTGAAAATGCAGATATATAAAATAAGAGTTTGGAAACACACACACACACAAATCTTATGCTAATTGTGAAAGATACTTGCATTTGATTAACAAATACTATTTACTATTTATTATTACAATAAATGATAATATGTTATGAACAGATTGTGTAATTTACTCATTGGCACAAGTGACGTGCCCTTGAATTACACTCAATTTCGTAGATTAGATCACATGTGTGTTGAGCGTTTGGAATTTTGTAGCCACTTGTTTAGTTTGCGTTTATCTGCTGGCAACCTTGAAAACTAATAACGGTGCATCGATCGCCCACTTGGACTTGACCGTCGCCCGTCGATGATGAATGACCGCATTCGAAAACATGCCGTGTCACTGCCGTTTTTTGATGCCGTTCGCGTGCGACACGTGCGATGGAGAGCCCAGGAGTGATTTGCACGCGTACAAGATGGCCGCGCAGGTTGCAAGCGTGACAACAGCGAGCAGAAGGGCCACGTCGATCATTTCGTACTCGTACCATTTAAGATCCATGGCCTTGGAGCGAAAGTGATGAGCGCCCTTGTGTTTGATTACGTGCTCTACCCAGTAGATGGCTTCTTTCAGCGGATGTACGAGTCGATCGTGCATCATTGCCGACCGCCATTTTACTGTTTCCGTATAGCTGAAATTATTTATACTTGATCTATACAGTTAGGAAACTACTAAACCAGTAATACCTTGAGTTATTGATGAGTTGGTCTAGAGCTTGGAAGAGATTCTCTTCGTTGAGTTGTTTGTATGGCACAGTCAAAGCATAGCCTCTGCTCACAGCTAAATTTATGTTCATTTTTTGATCGGCGTAGATCGGAATACCTAGAATGGGTTTCCCCAAACTAACAGCTTCAATGGTGCTTAACAGTCCGCCGTGTGAGATGAAAGCTTTTGTATTGGGATGTGCTAGAATAGCTTGCTGCGGAAACCACTTTCCTAGGATTACATTGTCTGGTTTGCCCTCGATGGTGTCCTCCTCCCACTTCCAGAAGACAGTCTGATTGATTCTTCCCAACGCACGTAGGATTGCTTTCTTTTTCTCCTCAGGCAGTAATGACACTTTCAGATTAGATCCCATGCCGAAGAACACAACACCATTCTTAGCTTCATCTATAATTTTCTTCATGTCTTTAGGTAATTCCCCAGCTTTGACATGGAAACCACCAATCTCAACCATGTTAGGCACATGAGGTACAGGATCATTAATGCTTACATGAGAATTCACCAGATGAAACCATCACGTTTATAGAGCAAATCATAAACATGAGGTGCATCCGGAAATGCTTTGTGTAATAGTTCATTATGGTAGGGGAAGGAAATAAAATGGCGATAGGCCTCCTCGGCGACCATGAGAAACCAATTATGGAGTCGATCAGTGAAATCCATGCGGCCACTGTAGTCAAAGAAGATATTGGGGACGTGGGATACGGGTGCTGGGTTGGCTACTAAATGGTTAACCCAGATTGAAGAGACTAACGTGCTGAAATATATCAAAGGCGCGTCCAACTTGTAAGCAATCCCAGTAAGACTCTCGTCGTAGAATTGGTCCATTATAACCACATCAAAGTGGCCTTTTTTAGTTTTTACTAAATCCAGAATTGGTTGGTACGTTAGTACATATTCTGAAATAACGTATCCCAATTGGTAACACAGATGGATTTGTTGAATGGGCCACATTGATTCCATATCAAAGAAAACAGTTTTCTTCTCTAAAAATAAAAAAAAAACAAATTTTTATGCATCAGTGCATATAATGTTAATACACTCAAGGTTACCTTGGACAATTTTAGCTAGATTCTCTATATACAATTGTTTATAATTCTCAGCAGTTTTCTCCTGTTTATAAGGCGCGATCATGGTAACTTGATGCCCTTTTTCCGCGAGTCCTTCTGCCAACCGATGCGCCAACGTATAGTGACTATACGAAGGCATCGGAAAGAAAACTAATATGTTTGACGCGTTTGTTGTGTGGATTGTACATAGCGCTAAAGCAATAATGCTGATACACGCGGACACGACTGGACTAGACGACATTTCACCGAATAATCACAATAAAATTGACCATCGCAGTATTTATATGTGACGGATGCTGTACTAGTACATATATTGCATTGCGCGGTTGTTCATAAAACGATCCACACATTTTATAATAAAAACAAAAATTGTTTTTTTATACACTGGTTTAATGGCAGGCAATTAATGGTCATCTGATTAGTACTTGCGTGATGTAATTTTCGTCGAAAATTGTTCATGTGTCATTTAGTAGGAGACGTTTATCAATATGTTAATAACATGATTTTACGCCGAAAAATATATTATTATGTATTGAGATTTTGTACTTACCTAATTTTTCAAGGAGTCCTTTAATAACAATGTGATTAAATTTATTTGTTTCTATGGTATAAGGCGAAATAAAAGTCACATTATGTCCTTTAATTGAAAGTCCTTCCGCGAGGCGAAGTGCAAGAATTGTATGACTGTATGAATCGACGGGAAATAACATTAATATGTTTGATGCGTTTGAAACATGAAGCGTCAATAGGAGAACAAATATTACATGTGCAGCCATTTTCCGATAGTTTTCAACTATGTCAAGTATTTATACGTTTTTATCATGTATTTGTTGTAAACATAAATACAAACAATGAAATATTTTAGGCGTAAAATTACAGTTACATATTTTATAACAAGTTTGAAAACAGGTAGGAAAGTAGGGTAAAATTACAAAAAAATGAATGATGTAACATTTAAATTGCTAAGTTGTTATTTATTAACATTTTCTACTACATAATGTTGATGTTTTTTATGTTTCTATTCATATTTGTTTATATTTTTTATTATTACTTTACTTATGGTTGTTTACTATTAATGAAGTTATTGAAGAATGAATTCTACATTCAGATTTATACTAGAATGCGTTATTAACGTTTTAAAATGTAATAATATTTATATTTCTGAAAGATTTTAATATGTTTCTTGCGAAGTTATTGTAGGCAACTCTGTATTCACCGAAGGTTTGGTAAGCTCTGTCATTGCCAGTGGCCATAAAAATGACCACAACGAGCTCGAAGGTAGCGCGCATAAACAACGCGATCTCACTATTTAGCAATTGTTTAAACGTTATTCCGATCGTGTTTACCTACGCGAGTGCGACATGTAAACATGGAGTTTATAACTTAGCGGGCGTTTTATAATTTATAAATAGATTTAGCTTCGTATCGACAAAACAAGCAAAATAACCTCAAATGTGCTTCACTATTAGTTTTCGAAAGAACATTCATCCAAATGAGAACGAAGAATTTTTTAATTGGCTTGCTAAGTTTAGTGGCGGTTAGCGTAGTGTTAATTATATTTGGTCAGCAGAAGCCGAAAGCAATACAGAACATCGTCTCGACGACGCATGAACAATTCAGGCATTTTAAGGTAAGAAATTCACAAATTACCAAAAAAACATGTTTAACATTTGTTTTGTTTTATTTATAGGTAACTTTGACAGAATCTGGCAGTAAGACATTGGCAGTAGATGAGAAGTACCTAAAGCTGTTGGGGTTGGCAGAGAAGAATACACCCATTTATCCACAAAATGTGTGGCATAACACTTCATTACCAGTTATAGTCACCTATGTGACTGAGGACAGGGAGAGTCAAGCCATTGGATTGATAAACAATGTTGCAAGGATTTTGCCAAATAACACAATATTAATTTACAATATAGGATTAGGAAATCATGGACTCAGAACAGTAAGTTACAATCATTTTTAATAAATAAATAATATTAAATTTTAAACAATTAAAATTTTAGTTGTTAAACTATTGCAACAGTAGCCACTGTCAAGTGATAACATTTGCCCTGAGTGATTATCCATCGCACGTCCAAGACGTGAATTTACACGCCTACAGACCGATAATAATTCAGGTAACTAGTTTTTTTTTGTTTACAAAAAGTGAAAGTTTATTATGGTTTTTGTTTTCGGTTTAGGATGCTTTACAACATACAGGAAGCGTGCTGTTTATGGAAGCTTCAAAGCGATTTCATCGACACGTGACCGCTGAGGCGTTGATGGAGCTGCGCGACACTGTCACGAAAGGCACGGCGATCATCGCCTGGCCGATGGAATCGAAGAACGCCGTCTCGACGTTGACGCACAAGAAGATGTTCGACTACTTCCACACCGACACGGACAACTTCTTGTTCCTTCCGATGGTATCGGCGGACGTGCTGCTCGTGGTGAACACGGGCGGTGTCCACGCCGATATCATGCTACCGTGGGTACAGTGCGCGCTGACACCCGACTGTATCGCCCCCATTGGCGCGCAGTCCGCCGGCTGCCGTTTTGACAAGAAGCCGCAGTATCGCTACTCTGGCTGCCACAGCTACGACACCTCGGCGCTGAACATCGTTCTCGGTATCAAGTTCAAGCTGGAGTACAGCAGGTATACTTATCAGTCGGAGGGTGTGTCGTTCGTGAGCGTGCCTCTGGAAATGGCGCAGCATGCGCTTATGGGGCTCGAGCTGAACACCACAACTGAAGGCGAGACGAAGCGGAGTTATTAATGATTTCAATTCCCAGTGCATCTAGGACCAAAAAAAGTTGTGATATCTCTTTTACGTTCAACCTGCGTTGCTCGTCTAACTTATTTATTTTTACTATACGCGCGTTTCTGTTCTTGTTTCTTTCGTAATGCATACGTTATTTTTACATTCATACGCATGATAAGGAAAAGACAATTTGTCATACAATATGTGCTCTGTGATCTATGTCGTATTGATATCCCGGATTCAATAAATTGCACAATGATTAAATAACATAAATACGATGATTGGTATTGCTCTACGAGATTCGTGTTCACTACAACTAACATTTCTGGTGTTGCGTGCAGACAGCTTTATAAGGCGTGTTCTAATGTACTTTGTAAATGTTTGCTAGATGGCGCTAGGATGCACATTTTAACTAAAAGTTTTGGTGCACGAAGTGGCGTGATCTCGCGCGACCCCGCGTTTTATCTCTTATCTCAGTGCACAACGTGCAGATATAAACAAACAACTTGCACGCTGTGTTTACCTGTGTTGACTTTTGTGTATGTCCCAATCTTACTATCAATTTGCAATCGCGTGCCGGTCAGTTTTCGTAGCAGTTTGTAGCCGGACTCTTATTGCTCGCGCACGTTTATTGCAACTTATATTCAACGTGCTACATTTGATTAAATTTGGCAAAGTATAGTCTGCACGCATCGTACGTCGCGATTTACTGTGATCGTATTCCTGTGTTATGTTTGTAAAACTGAAGTGCTTTCTGTGCCGGAAAGAAGTGTTGTGGTGCATCAGCCGTCGGATGAATTTCGGCATCTAATCACAGTTATTTTGCACTCTATTTTGGAACTAGTAAGTAACATAAATCATTTATATAAGTATTTAATGGCATTACAAATATATTTAATGTTAATGCAAAGAACAAAAAACATGCGGCGCCTGATTAAGTGAATCGATTTCACACAAATTTCTTTTCTATTCACATCGTCCTCTGTGTGTATTGTACCGAAGATGCAATACGTGTATCTTCGGTACAATTTAGAATATTGAATTATTTAAGCGACGCGGGTAATCATTTCTAAAATTTTATATATTATAAACTATTATTTAACAATTTTACGACTTTTTATTATTTATAAGTTTATAGAGATATTTATACATACTCAAAAATTAATTTGATTATTTGAGTTAAAATTTGATTATACGATACTCTCTTTCAAGGAATGTCGTCAAGATTGTTTTATGCAGTTTTTAATACACCCTGTGAAACTGGAATTTTAGCGCTTATCTCTGTTTGCATCCGTAGCTACATGCGTGCGCGCTCCGGACGCATGCCGCAGGCGCACGTTTCTTTCACTCGAGTCTAGTTGATCGCTATTTCTACGTAGTTGAACAGACGCGGACTGTACGCATCAAACGCGTATCGCCATTTTAATTCGGCAACAATCCTTTTCGTTTGCTAGTTATATACGGGTGTTATATTGTGCTGGGTTAATTATGGTTCTTCGGTACAGGACCGATGAGACTGGGGTAAATTCTCCGGAGCCCGGCTGATCGCTCTTAAATCGCAAACACAAAAAAATCAGCATAAAATTAACGATTGCCGGGATCCGCGGTGGTTCTCGACGGCCCTGCCTACTTGTGACCAAAATTAGACGACCGGCACGGTTGGACACAATTAGGAGATATTCGCAATTCAAAAAAAAAGCAAAAATTGCACTTTTGGTCTTTTTATCCCACGAAATTAAATTATTTTAAATTCTTATCCAATGCAGAATTTTCCAATTTTTCATAGCTTTCAATCCGTTGGTCGCTATCGCGTTTAGTTTGAAATATATGCACTATTATCGTTTATTGACTCGAATATGCCAAGAACGCCTCGTCTTCTGGGCACCGTATGAGGGTAGCGGTAGAAGTGACTCGTATTCAAGGCACCGTACATGGGCAGCGGTAGACGTGACTTGTGTTCCTGACACCGTATGAGGGTAGCGCTAGAAGTGACTCGTGTTCAGGGCACCGCACCAGGGCAGAGGTAGAAGTGACTCGTGTTCAGGGCACCGTACGTGGATGATTGTATAGCTGACTTCCATTTGCCCATTTTTTCTTATGAATTAAAATTTCATCTTTTATATATGGATTTTAATTAACTCATCTTATCGAAAATTTTCCGCAGATTAAGAATTTTAACTCTGTTCTTTTCTATCTCTTTTAGTTTACGAGATATTCGCAAATAAAATAAATCGTCAAAAATTGAAAAATTGCAATTTTCAGTCATGTTTTTAAACTTTTTACCCCATTAAATTAAATAATTTTCGTCTGATAGAGAATTTTCCAATCTTCAATAATCTACAATTTTCTGGCTGCTATCTCTTTTAGGTTGGAAGATATTCGCTGTCGAAAATCGTCGATAAAAACTATCAATTAATAATAATATCATAATAATTATAATAATATTATAATTAGATTCATTTATTTTGAATAAGTATATCCTATTGACTTATATATTTGAAGTTTTGAGGAGTTATTTGTAAAAATTGCTATTTGTTTAGATAGGGTGGTGCATGCGCACTCTCGTGTACGTGTGATACACGGACACGGCCACTTAGGTGCGTGACCACTCACTGATACATAGGCAATCGCTCACTGCCTCATATGTACGCCACACTTTTTGAAACGCTGGAGGTACAATAAAGTATCTCCAGACGGCGCAGCGATGCATATTTTAACTAAAAATATTCCTGCGAGTGAAAGTCAGCGTGCACAGTTGTGATACCGGCACTCATCTGTTCGCGCGACGAGTAATAAAACTGCGAATACTCGTGTTTCTCGTAGTATTCGATATATCGCGTTATATTTTTATTGAATTTAGTATTAATTATCGTATTTGGTAATTCGTTAAATATTTATCGCGCGTGTAATCTCCGGAATTCAGTATTTTGTGTGTTTATTATCTTACCGCGTGTGTTCGTGATCGGTTGCCGTCGGACGCCGGCTGGCCATGTGTGATTGTAAATAAAATTGTAGTTAATTTCGGACTTGTGTGAATCATTATTGTCTTCAGCAGAACTTGTCGAGGCAATGTGCTACCTGGTAAGAATACTCATTTAAAAAACTTTGGGTTCCGCTGGAATTTAATTCTACATTGTCTGAAATTGTGTATCTAATGTCTTGTTTCTTCTTTATTTCAGTATCTACTCACATTTGATTTGCGGTGTTCGATACACAGGTAAGTAACATTTTACTGTTTTCCTACAATTAGAAAATTGATATCTTAAACTTATTTTTGCGGAAATTTCTTTCAAGTACTCCGCAGAAAATTTGAAAATGGAAATTCAAACTTTTATTGCGGATACCTCCATAAAATGTCGTTCTGAACATTTTATGATAGTAAAATTTTACTCTAGGACCCAAAGAGTTTCCCTAATTTGACCAAATGTGAATATACTTTTCAGCAGAAAACTTATAGATGAAATTTATAGGTTTTTCTACTGAAGTGCAATAAAATTTTGTGGAAAATCGCAATAAATAGTTGGAATTGTTTATTGTTTAAACATAAACCAAAATAGACTAGAAACAATACATGTTCGAATTAAATTTCACTTAAATGTTAAATATAAAATAGGCCAATCTTTGAGCATAAGAAGTCATAATTTCATGATTTTAATTTTAAAGTTTTATTAATTTTAATAATATAAATTTCGGTACTACTACTCGTATCTGTATCAGTCATACTAGCATGAAAACAAAAATTATAAAATAGAATTGCATTGTTTATTTTTTGATTTATCGGCAAACGTGGGCATTCGGCACGAGAATTGCGTTTGTTTTGAACACAACTTTCACTTTCTTATCGCATTCGCCGCGTGGAATGCAACGCATGAGATTATCACAGTCTAGTTTAATTTAAATTGCGCCTATTGCAATTCGTGCACAAGGTCGCGTCCCGTCGACGCGCAGCCGACTTTGCGCATCTATTGCAATTCGCGCACAAGGTCGCGTGGCATCGACGCGCTGGCTTTGCGCATCTATTGTTTTTGCCTGCCGGGTTTATGCAGCAGGCACAGAGTCTTAGTGAACTATCGCATCCTTGCGTGCGCAGTTTCGGCAAGCGCTATCGATGGATTCAAGTCAGTTGCGGGCCGGTCGCTGGAGTATCTAGACGAGTTTCCCGCGACGCGTATCGTTTGATCGGACTTCTATTTTCTAAATTTGCATTTCGAATATGTTCGGTCATCAATCGACTTAGTTGTAACATGCATCTGCAGTGTTATGTTAGTGATTAATGGTGCGTTTATGTTCATAAAAGTTTTTTTTTGCTCGGTTTTGATGTTCATTTTTCAAATTACAAGATTGCTGCGGTTTTATTGTCGGTTACTGTGTGACTTTGTCGGTCAATCGGATACATATTCCTGCCATGTTTTTTCCGTCATTAGGAGATCCTTTCTTGCTTAAGTAAGTAACTTTTATCTGACCATTTCGAATGTTTGTTTTTCTCCGATGTGTGAATATAATATTATTTTATTGTATCATAAAGTATAAATTAAAGCAATATTTGCGATTTGATAGGCATTATTAAATGGCATGTAATTAAACAAACTTTATTTTTTCGATTTTTAACTTGTCAATTCATGAAATGCACTTATAATTAATGTTTGCACTTAAAAATACAGAACTGAACTTAAAAATAAATATTTGCACTTTGAAAAATGAATTCCACTTGAATAAAATGCTTTGCACTATGAAATTAATACTTTGCACTTATAAAACTTGCAGTATTAAGTACGTGCCGTACTCTTAGCCGGCCCCTTCTATCACCGACCACCCCTACCCCCCGACCGCCCCATAAATAATACCAAACAAGGTACCCTACCTAACCACCACAAATTATAAAGTTTCAATTTAAAAAGTTGATTCAAAGCAAATTTAAGGTTAAACCTGAATATATAAGTGCATTGTATTAAAATATAAGTTATACAATCTATAGTGCATAATATGAATTTCTTAGTGCAAAGTATGAAAACTTAAGTGCGGCTGTTCAAGTGGATTGTATTTTAACTAAAGTGCATTTAATATATCCCCTTATTAAATTGCTTGTGACTGGCATATTCATGCAATATCAATTTTGTTGCATATTTGGTAAAATGTATTTTAAATTTAAACCTGCCATTAGTAGATAGTCGGTTAGATGGCACTACGATGCACGTTTTTGCGTTAAATATTGCTTGTCGGTGGTAGTGAGTGCACACCGTGTCCGTGTGCGATCACGCGATTTCGCACAAGAGATAAGTTTGTTTACCTGCAGATATCACATCCTGCAGTTTATATTGGCATCGTTTAATCGTAATCACTATAGTAATATTATTTACTATTTGCGCGTTTATCGTCCGGCCGGTTTGTGATCGCGCTGAAAGTGTATATTACAACTCACAATAGTTGCTAGGTAAATCAAATAAATATCGCCCCCATATTGATTCATACATCTTTAGGATGACCCATCGTGCTGGTGTAAATTTTAACAAAACTACACATATGGTTTTTTTTCTCCGCTGTGTGAATATAATATTACAAAATAATATTGACGTGATAACGTCTTTAAAATCGTTTTTTTCAGTCGGGTGACATGTTCAAAAGAAACATTGTGTCACGAGGACCTCGAACTGAGATGGCCGATCGCTTATAACGAGAGAGAATTTTTGGCCGAAACGGACCGATCTCCATTTGATGACAAAGTCTCATCTCGAGCGCTGCCAGTCATTCCGTGAAACTTGTCACGCGGAATCCACCGATCGAGCGTAGGCAGTCATTCCGTGAAACTTGTCATAGCGTTCGAGTGAGTGGACCGATCTTCCGTCTCTCTCACTCTAGCGGCATACAAACGAATGGAGATTTTCTCGTGCGGTTAAGTTTTCGTTGAATGTTTAACAGTGAAAGAAAATGTGAAGTGCAAGTGAAGTGTTACAACAATTGCAACAAAAAAAACTTATATCACCAATAAGACGTTATCACGTAAACATCTCGATCGTAAACCTACTTTACAAACAACCATTTTGTTTTTGTTTTAACTTATATTTTCTTTCTTATTTACAGTACTTGCTGTGACTAGGAGTCCGATGAGTTCTGCATTGGTAAGTTTATAATTCAATTATATTTTTCGTTTTAATTTCTGCGTCGTACATTAGTAGTTTTTAAGTAGTTCCTTTTCACGTTCCACCGCGTGTTGCAAAGATACAAGAGAGTCGCGTTTCAATCTGCTTCTCTGAATCTCTTTTGTTTACGAGATATTCGCGATTGAATAAAATGGGCAAAAATAGAAAACTGTCACTTTTTAGCACTTTTAGTCGCATTTTTCGACCTTTTACTGAAGGAAATATAATTATTTTATTTTTATCCGATAGAGAATTTTCCAATCTTTCATAATTAGTAATTCGTGGGTTGCTATCTCTTTTAGTTTAAGAGATATTAATTATCAAAAATCGTCGAAAAAAAGTATCAAGCACCCCCCCTTGGCAATTTTTTCTTAAGAATTAAAATTTCATCTCTCAGATTTCCGCTTTATCTAGCCTATCTTATAGAGATATACGCATATATACGCAATAGTACTCGTTGCGCTCGGAATTGTACTTTCTTAATATTATAACACGCGAACGCGGTCTTAAACTAAGTTCGGATTGATTTTCCCAGATGCGGAATTTAATTCTTTATTTCCCGAATGTTCCGTATCGAATTTTATTGCGAGAAAATTCCGTAACGCGAGTTATAATGATAGTTGTGTGTATACGCATATACGCAATAGTACTCGTTGCGCTAGGAATTGTACTTTCTTAATATTATAACACGCGAACGCGGTCTTAAACTAAGTTCGGATTTATTTTCCCAGATGCGGAATTTAATTCTTTATTTCCCTGTATCGAATTTTATTGCGAGAAAATTCCGTAACGCGAGTTATAATGATAGTTGTGTGTATACGCATATACGCAATAGTACTCGTTGCGCTAGGAATTGTACTTTCTTAATATTATAACACGCGAACGCGGTCTTAAACTAAGTTCGGATTAATTTTCCCAGATGCGGAATTTAATTCTTTATTTCCCTGTATCGAATTTTATTGCGAGAAAATTCCGTAACGCGAGTTATAATGATAGTTGTGTGTATACGCATATACGCAATAGTACTCGTTGCGCTAGGAATTGTACTTTCTTAATATTATAACACGCGAACGCGGTCTTAAACTAAGTTCGGATTTATTTTCCCAGATGCGGAATTTAATTCTTTATTTCCTGTATCGAATTTTATTGCGAGAAAATTCCGTAACGCGAGTTATAATGATAGTTGTGTGTATACGCATATACGCAATAGTACTCGTTGCGCTAGGAATTGTACTTTCTTAATATTATAACACGCGAACGCGGTCTTAAACTAAGTTCGGATTTATTTTCCCAGATGCGGAATTTAATTCTTTATTTCCCTGTATCGAATTTTATTGCGAGAAAATTCCGTAACGCGAGTTATAATGATAGTTGTGTGTATACGCATATACGCAATAGTACTCGTTGCGCTAGGAATTGTACTTTCTTAATATTATAACACGCGAACGCGGTCTTAAACTAAGTTCGGATTTATTTTCCCAGATGCGGAATTTAATTCTTTATTTCCCTGTATCGAATTTTATTGCGAGAAAATTCCGTAACGCGAGTTATAATGATAGTTGTGTGTATACGCATATACGCAATAGTACTCGTTGCGCTAGGAATTGTACTTTCTTAATATTATAACACGCGAACGCGGTCTTAAACTAAGTTCGGATTTATTTTCCCAGATGCGGAATTTAATTCTTTATTTCCCTGTATCGAATTTTATTGCGAGAAAATTCCGTAACGCGAGTTATAATGATAGTTGTGTTACGCATATACGCAATAGTACCGCTAGGAATTGTACTTTCTTAATATTATAACACGCGAACGCGGTCTTAAACTAAGTTCGGATTTTTTTCCCAGATGCGAGAAAATTCCGTAACGCGAGTTATAATGATAGTTGTGTGTATACGCATATACGCAATAGTACTCGTTGCGCTAGGAATTGTACTTTCTTAATATTATAACACGCGAACGCGGTCTTAAACTAAGTTCGGATTTATTTTCCCAGATGCGGAATTTAATTCTTTATTTCCTGTATCGAATTTTATTGCGAGAAAATTCCGTAACGCGAGTTATAATGATAGTTGTGTGTATACGCATATACGCAATAGTACTCGTTGCGCTAGGAATTGTACTTTCTTAATATTATAACACGCGAACGCGGTCTTAAACTAAGTTCGGATTAATTTTCCCAGATGCGGAATTTAATTCTTTATTTCCCTGTATCGAATTTTATTGCGAGAAAATTCCGTAACGCGAGTTATAATGATAGTTGTGTGTATACGCATATACGCAATAGTACTCGTTGCGCTAGGAATTGTACTTTCTTAATATTATAACACGCGAACGCGGTCTTAAACTAAGTTCGGATTTATTTTCCCAGATGCGGAATTTAATTCTTTATTTCCCTGTATCGAATTTTATTGCGAGAAAATTCCGTAACGCGAGTTATAATGATAGTTGTGTGTATACGCATATACGCAATAGTACTCGTTGCGCTAGGAATTGTACTTTCTTAATATTATAACACGCGAACGCGGTCTTAAACTAAGTTCGGATTTATTTTCCCAGATGCGGAATTTAATTCTTTATTTCCCTGTATCGAATTTTATTGCGAGAAAATTCCGTAACGCGAGTTATAATGATAGTTGTGTGTATACGCATATACGCAATAGTACTCGTTGCGCTAGGAATTGTACTTTCTTAATATTATAACACGCGAACGCGGTCTTAAACTAAGTTCGGATTTTTTTCCCAGATGCGGAATTTAATTCTTTATTTCCCTGTATCGAATTTTATTGCGAGAAAATTCCGTAACGCGAGTTATAATGATAGTTGTGTGTATACGCATATACGCAATAGTACTCGTTGCGCTAGGAATTGTACTTTCTTAATATTATAACACGCGAACGCGGTCTTAAACTAAGTTCGGATTTATTTTCCCAGATGCGGAATTTAATTCTTTATTTCCTGTATCGAATTTTATTGCGAGAAAATTCCGTAACGCGAGTTATAATGATAGTTGTGTGTATACGCATATACGCAATAGTACTCGTTGCGCTAGGAATTGTACTTTCTTAATATTATAACACGCGAACGCGGTCTTAAACTAAGTTCGGATTAATTTTCCCAGATGCGGAATTTAATTCTTTATTTCCCTGTATCGAATTTTATTGCGAGAAAATTCCGTAACGCGAGTTATAATGATAGTTGTGTGTATACGCATATACGCAATAGTACTCGTTGCGCTAGGAATTGTACTTTCTTAATATTATAACACGCGAACGCGGTCTTAAACTAAGTTCGGATTTATTTTCCCAGATGCGGAATTTAATTCTTTATTTCCCTGTATCGAATTTTATTGCGAGAAAATTCCGTAACGCGAGTTATAATGATAGTTGTGTGTATACGCATATACGCAATAGTACTCGTTGCGCTAGGAATTGTACTTTCTTAATATTATAACACGCGAACGCGGTCTTAAACTAAGTTCGGATTTATTTTCCCAGATGCGGAATTTAATTCTTTATTTCCCTGTATCGAATTTTATTGCGAGAAAATTCCGTAACGCGAGTTATAATGATAGTTGTGTGTATACGCATATACGCAATAGTACTCGTTGCGCTAGGAATTGTACTTTCTTAATATTATAACACGCGAACGCGGTCTTAAACTAAGTTCGGATTTATTTTCCCAGATGCGGAATTTAATTCTTTATTTCCCTGTATCGAATTTTATTGCGAGAAAATTCCGTAACGCGAGTTATAATGATAGTTGTGTGTATACGCATATACGCAATAGTACTCGTTGCGCTAGGAATTGTACTTTCTTAATATTATAACACGCGAACGCGGTCTTAAACTAAGTTCGGATTTATTTTCCCAGATGCGGAATTTAATTCTTTATTTCCCTGTATCGAATTTTATTGCGAGAAAATTCCGTAACGCGAGTTATAATGATAGTTGTGTGTATACGCATATACGCAATAGTACTCGTTGCGCTAGGAATTGTACTTTCTTAATATTATAACACGCGAACGCGGTCTTAAACTAAGTTCGGATTAATTTTCCCAGATGCGGAATTTAATTCTTTATTTCCTGTATCGAATTTTATTGCGAGAAAATTCCGTAACGCGAGTTATAATGATAGTTGTGTGTATACGCATATACGCAATAGTACTCGTTGCGCTAGGAATTGTACTTTCTTAATATTATAACACGCGAACGCGGTCTTAAACTAAGTTCGGATTTATTTTCCCAGATGCGGAATTTAATTCTTTATTTCCCTGTATCGAATTTTATTGCGAGAAAATTCCGTAACGCGAGTTATAATGATAGTTGTGTGTATACGCATATACGCAATAGTACTCGTAGTTTCGTTAGGATAACTCGCGAACCGAATGCTGAAATTAACAACTGATGTAATGAATTAGGTATTATATTTTATTTTATTTTAGTGCACTTCAGAAATGTGCTATTTCAATTCTACACGCATATCGGGGTTTGTGTATAAACACGTTTTTATATCGCTATAAACGTGTGCAATGCTGCATCTCATGCTACGAACGTTCGACCGCTTCAGTCTGTTCTTACCTGCACGCGGCTCGGCATCATTCTTTCATTCATTCCGATTACATTACATTTTATTATTGATTAAAAATGAACATTTCTAACGGCACCTAATGACAACAGACATGTAGATTGTTTTGCTAAGGATGATTTACGCGTAAAATGATTATAAAACTGGTGTTTCCATGTGCGTGTCGGCTATTGGATTATTTCGATGTTGAGAATTGGAATTAGAAATATGTATCCTATTCGTAATTTTAAGTTAGTGTAATTAACGACTGTCCTTGGCAGGATATTCCGGGAAAATTGTGTTAAAATAGTACAGGTTCATTATCCCTCAAAACGAATATAAATAAGTGTGCACCATAGTGCGAGTTCTCACACACGTGTTGTTTTTTTGTTTCAGTACTTTCTATGATTACCTGATGCACTGGTGAGTTTGTAAACGTTATTACATAAGACTTTCATATTTATCTAAAATTTGCATGTAACGTCAATACCGTAAGAACACAAAATTGATGCGTGCCGCAAGATGCGACTTGGATCTACCCGCAGAGTATGGTCATGTCAATCATCGGTTTAATAACGTGAAATTTTCCTTGCTCGCATTTTTATTTTTATTTCATAAATCTGCCGGCTCTTTAACGTATTTTCGTAGTTTGGCAATTAATTATTGAGAGTAATATATTTGTAAAATATTTGTAATATATTTGTACAATGTAGCAATTTTCTTCTTGTATCACCCTATGTTCTACTTTACCTTGCGTTCTAGTGTAAAACTGACTAAATTTGTCGTTTCTGGGTCGTTTTCTACTTAAACTATGTATTTTATTTTTAAATTTAGGAATTTCCTGTTTGTATCACCCTGTATGTTTGTTTTTCTTGATTTCCTATTATAAGTTTTCTAAATTTGTATTCCCGACTATTTTCTTTTTTCTGTTATTGATTTTCTTTTTGTGGTGTAGTAATTTCCTTTTTGTAGCATCCTGTATATTTGTTTTCCTTGTTGTCCGTGAAAATTTAGCTTTAGCTGTTGTTCTTAGGTTTTTCTTTTTTGCAATTTGAATTTTCTATTTGTAACACCCTGTATATTTGTTTTCCTGCTTGTCGAGGAAAACGAGCGTTCGTAGTGTTTTGAGTTTTTTGTTTGCACTTAAAATTTTCTTTTTGTAACTCCCTGTATATTTGTTCCCATTTTCACTCACGTAGAAAGTGGTCTCTTTCCTAATTTCCTTATCTCTGTAGTACTTTGCGAAGTGCAAGCAAGTTGCAAGTTCTGTTTCAATATGACGACATGTATTCTGTTGACTTGTAAAATATGAATTTGTATTCTATTGTTAATAAATGAATAGTATGATATATTGACTTCTTTGATTTGTGTACCTCTTCTATCATTTCAGGAACAGGTCTCTGAGAGAATTCCCTCTCTCAGGGGATGATCCCCACTATAAAAATTGTTAAGGTATCCTGTGTGATTTGTGTCCTCCTTCTTTCATTTCAGCTACAGGTCAGAACTGGTAAGAATATTTTTAAGTGTCACCTCTCTTGAGTCGGCTTAAAACTTAGAAATATTTTTACAAGACCTTATAAGGATTGTCCTTATAAGGAGTTCCCTCTCTCTGGGGATGATCCCCCACCATAAAAATTGTTGATATGCCTGATAATTCCGGGGATGAAGCGCAGAGACATCGTAGCTGTAGGATGGGCCGGGAGCAATGGACGAACCGAAATAGTGGGCCTCCGGCGCTCTGGGAGATCGACCGTAGACTGTCTTATAACGACACGTGCCAAAAAATTTAAAAATCTGATCCTCCCCTGTTCTCTTTCTTCTATCTCCTCCTCTTCTCTACTCTACTCTCTGTTCTCTTCCTTCTATCTTCTCCTATTCTCTACTACTCATTCTTCTATTTCTCTGTTCCCCCGATCTCCTTTTACTTTCTTACTTCTCATGTTGCCTTCACTTATATTTCAATTTCTCTTATATTTCGTTGCAATTCATATATGCAACCCAAATTACACCAGATATTTTTATATTTGAGAAAAATGCCTTCTATACCTGAGATTCGATCCGTGTCTGCTAGCATGCCAGCAGGTGCACGTACCCACTCGACCACCGAGTGTTTTTATTATTTATATTTGATTCTTCTATTTATGTTTCTACTTTATTCAACTTTTTAAAAACAACAACACAAGCCTTAGCTATGCTGCACTCACATAAGCTTCATATGATATATGATTTAAGAAGAATATCCTGAAAACGACAATGAGGATATTACAAAAAAATATGAATGAGATTTTAATTGTAAATTGAGTTTTATTAACTATATTTAACAATACATTCTTCTTTCTTTTTTAATAAAGCGAACGTACGTACGATCCAAGGCATATCCTACATACCATCGAGCCACAACGCTCTCTTATGAAATGTTACACATAAAGCAGAATTGTTAGTTGAATTGATGTTACTACTCACTGTATAACTTTTGCACTAACAACTATGACACACGGAGAAAACGCGTGATTTATCCCTTCTAATTAACAATACCATAAATCCAAATGGAATCTGTAGCCCAACACAAGAGATCCGAAGGCCGGCGACTGATGGCTTACACACGCGCACCTTGTGTCTTAAGTCTCGAGTCGAGATAAATCTCTTGTTCAGTACTTGATAGCAATCGATGACTAAACAATTATAAAGCTCGCACCGTATTAAAATCGCCCGAAATACTAACAGTCGCGACGAACAGTGGCGGAGAAGAAAGAAAACACGTGCACACAGCACAACTGCGTACCACCGACTGACTAAACAGGAAAAAAACAACAGCCAATACGCCAGCGCAACATGTACTGACCAGTATAGCGAATTGTCACTTGAACCCGACGACACACGGCGACCGGTGCGGTACTGTTCAAATTTCAAATGGCAGTGCACAGCGTGCTGCGCAAGCCAAGATCGAACTGAAAGTAAAAACAAAGTTTGGAAAATTCTGCAGATCATATAAAGAACATGGATTGAACACAAAACTTAGAGTATTGCTCTCATATTCTAACTCACCTGTTGTTAATTCATCCTGGTATTTCTATCTCACTCACTTGAACAAAAAGTAATAAAACACAATCCATGTTATATATAACCCAAAAACTATTCGAAATGACTAAATGTAAACAAACAGTTTCAAGTTATCGATATAACAACGTACGAAACGTACAATTTATCTCACAATACACGTTCTACTGGTACGTTCTACTCCTACGACATTAGAATATAACGCCATGAAGAATTAAATTTTACTTCTTTAGGGACCTCGCTTTTATTACGCGGATGACGCGTTCATGTGTTAAACCCCAAAAACCAGCAAAATCAGTGTTTCAAAACACAAAAAGTAAATTTTTCTCGCTAAGTTATTCATAAAAGTTATGTATGAAAATGATAAAGAATTTAATTATTTACAATCTGATGCAAGAATGGTTCTGTTTAGATGTCGATTTCCGATGCAAAACACCTAAAACAAGCGAAAAGTAGTCCTTTGCAACACAAAAATGCAATTTTCGTCACTAATTCATGAGCTAATCACAAAACTCAGTTATGAAAACGATAAAGAAATTAAATACTTACAATCTGATGTAAGAATGGTCCTTCTACGGTGTCAGACTCAAGTGCAAAATCCCTAAAACCGGCAAAAATTAGTCCTTCGAACATAAAAATGCAATTTTGGGGGTCAATTTGTGAGATAATCACAAAAGTTATTTAGGAATATGATAAAGGAATTAATTACTTACAATCTGATCCAAGAATGGTCCTCCTACGATGTCAGACTCAGGTGCAAAATCCCTAAAACCATCAAAAATTAGTGTTTTAAACTTAAAAATGCAATTTTGGGGGTCAATTTGTGAGATAATCACAAAAGTTTCTTAGGAAAATGATAAAGAAATATAATACTTACAATCTGATGCAAGAATGGTCCTTCTACGATGTCAGACTCAGGTGCAAAATCCCAAAAACCATCAAAAATTAGTCTTTTAAACATAAAAATGCAATTTTGGGGGTCAATTTGTGAGATAATCGCAACAGTTATTTAGGAATATGATAAAGGAATATAATACTTACAATCTGATCTAAGAATGGTCCTCCTACGATGTCAGACTCAGGTGCAAAATCCCTAAAACCATCAAAAATTAGTCTTTTAAACATAAAAATGCAATTTTGGGGGTCAATTTGTGAGATAATCGCAACAGTTATTTAGGAATATGATAAAGGAATTAACTACTTACAATCTGATGCAAGAATGGTCCTTCTACGATATCAGACTCAGGTGCAAAATCCCTAAAACAAGCAAAAATTAACCCTTCAAACATAAAAATGCAATTTTGGCGGTCAATTTGTGAGATAATCACAAAAGTTATTTAGGAAAATGATAAAGAAATTTAATACCTACAATCTGATGCAAGAATGGTCCCTCTACGATGTCAGATTCAGGTGCAAAATCCCTAAAACAAGCAAAAATTAGTCCTTCGAACATAAAAATGCAATTTTGGGGTCAATTTGTGAGATAATCACAAAAGTTATTTAGGAATATGATAAAGGAATTAATTACTTACAATCTGATCCAAGAATGGTCCTCCTACGATGTCATACTCAGGTGCAAAATCCCTAAAACAAGCAAAAATTAGTCCTTCGAACATAAAAATGCAATTTTGGGGGTCAATTTGTGAGATAATCACAAAAGTTATTTAGGAATATGATAAAGGAATTAATTACTTACAATCTGATCCAAGAATGGTCCTCCTACGATGTCAGACTCAGGTGCAAAATCCCTAAAACCATCAAAAATTAGTGTTTTAAACATAAAAATGCAATTTTGGGGGTCAATTTGTGAGATAATCACAAAAGTTACTTAGGAAAATGATAAAGAAATATAATACTTACAATCTGATGCAAGAATGGTCCTTCTACGATGTCAGACTCAGGTGCAAAATCCCAAAAACAATCAAAAATTAGTCTTTTAAACATAAAAATGCAATTTTGGGGGTCAATTTGTGAGATAATCGCAACAGTTATTTAGGAATATGATAAAGGAATTAACCACTTACAATCTGATGCAAGAATGGTCCTTCTACCATGTCAGACTCAGGTGCAAAATCCCTAAAACCATCAAAAATTAGTGTTTTAAACATAAAAATGCAATTTTGGGGTCAATTTGTGAGATAATCACAAAAGTTACTTAGGAAAATGATAAAGAAATATAATACTTACAATCTGATGCAAGAATGGTCCTTCTACGATGTCAGACTCAGGTGCAAAATCCCTAAAACCATCAAAAATTAGTGTTTTAAACATAAAAATGCAATTTTGGGGGTCAATTTGTGAGATAATCACAAAAGTTACTTAGGAAAATGATAAAGAAATATAATACTTACAATCTGATGCAAGAATGGTCCTTCTACGATGTCAGACTCAGGTGCAAAATCCCTAAAACCATCAAAAATTAGTGTTTTAAACATAAAAATGCAATTTTGGGGGTCAATTTGTGAGATAATCACAAAAGTTACTTAGGAAAATGATAAAGAAATATAATACTTACAATCTGATGCAAGAATGGTCCTTCTACGATGTCAGACTCAGGTGCAAAATCCCTAAAACCATCAAAAATTAGTGTTTTAAACATAAAATGCAATTTTGGGGTCAATTTGTGAGATAATCACAAAAGTTACTTAGGAAAATGATAAAGAAATATAATACTTACAATCTGATGCAAGAATGGTCCTTCTACGATGTCAGACTCAGGTGCAAAATCCCTAAAACCATCAAAAATTAGTGTTTTAAACATAAAAATGCAATTTTGGGGGTCAATTTGTGAGATAATCACAAAAGTTACTTAGGAAAATGATAAAAAATATAATACTTACAATCTGATGCAAGAATGGTCCGTCTACGATGTCAGACTCAGGTGCAAAATCCCTAAAACCATCAAAAATTAGTCTTTTAAACATAAAAATGCAATTTTGGGGGTCAATTTGTGAGGGAATCACAAAAGTTACTTAGGAAAATGATAAAGAAATATAATACTTACAATCTGATCCAAGAATGGTCCTTCTACGATATCAGACTCAGGTGCAAAATTCCTAAAACCATCAAAAATTAGTGTTTTAAACATAAAAATGCAATTTTGGGGGTCAATTTGTGAGATAATCACAAAAGTTATTTAGGAATATGATAAAGGAATTAATTACTTACAATCTGATGCAAGAATGGTCCTTCTACGATATCAGACTCAGGTGCAAAATTCCTAAAACCATCAAAAATTAGTGTTTTAAACATAAAAATGCAATTTTGGGGGTCAATTTGTGAGATAATCACAAAAGTTATTTAGGAATATGATAAAGGAATTAATTACTTGCAATCTGATGCAAGAATGGTCCTTCTACGATGTCAGACTCAAGTGCAAAATCCAAAAAACCAGCAAAAATTAGTTCTTCAAACATAAAAATGCAATTTTGGGGGTCAATTTGTGAGATAATCACAAAAGTTATTTAGGAAAATAATAAAGAAATTAAATATTTACATTCTGATGCCAGAATGGTCCTTCTACAATGTCAGACGCAGGTGCAAAATCCTTAAAACTAGCAAAAATTTGTCCTCTGAACATAAAATTGCAATTTTGGGGGTCAATTTGTGAGACAATCACAAATGTTATTTAGGAACATGATAAAGAAATTAAATACTTACAATCTGATGCAAGTATGGTCCTTCTACGGTATCTGAGTCAAGTGTAAAATCCCTAAAACCAGCAAAAATTAGTCCTTCGAACATAAAACTGCAATTTTGGGCAGCGGCGTAGCGTGCCTTGTCGGGGCCCCGTATAAAATTTTTTTTGGAGGCCCTTATATGGAGGTAAAGGTTTTTCCTTATACACTTTGGGGCCCCCTGGCCCGGGGGCCCCGTATAATTGATACGGCAAATACGGCGGTAGCTACGCCCCTGATTTTGGGGGTCAATTTGTGAGATAATCACAGAGGACGATATGAATAGTAAAGAGATTTGTGTGAAGTCGGTTCACTTAGTCAGGCGCTGCATATTTCTTGATATTTGCATTAAAATTAAATATATTTGCAATGCCATTCAATACTTAAATAAATGATTTATGTTACTTACTAGTTCCAAAATAGAGTGCAAAATAACTGTGAATAGTCAAAAATGTCGAAATTTATCCGGCGGCTGACGCACCACAGCACTTCTTTCCGGCACAGAAAGCACTTCTGTTTTACAAACATACCACAGGTATACAATCACTGTAAATCGCGACGTACGGTGCGTGCAGACTATACTTTGTCAATTATTAATTAAATAAAATGTAGCACGTTGAATAAAAGTTGCAATAAACGTGCACGAGCAATAAGAGTCAGGCGACAAACTGGTACGAAAACTGGCCGGCTCGCAGATTGCAAATTGATAGTGAGATTGAGACATACACAAATGCCAACACAGGTAAACACAGCGTGCATGTTGTTTGTTTATGTCTGCACGTTGCGCACTGAGCTAAGAGATAAAGAGCAGGGTCGCGCGAGATCACGCCACTTTGTGCACAGAAACTTTTAGTTAAAATGTGCATCCTAGCGTCATCTAATAATCATTTAGAAAGTACAATAGTGTTCGCATGCGTTCGCACTCAAAATGAATAAATAAACAAATAGTGGATAAATCAGAATATACCTACTATATTTTCAAAAATATAGGCTTTTAACAACAATTTTTTTGTAAATTATCTTTCAATGATTAAATATATATCACACAGGATTAAAATAGCAGTTTTTAAATGACAAGTTTTCATAGGAAGTCAATTGCCGTTTGGAACCTAATTTTTCCTTAACGCTTTCTCCCACTTTCTTAAGCATATCTTCTAAATGAGTATCACACGCATGGTTCATAAAAACGTTGCAAATCTCTCTAATGAAGTATGAACCCAACTCGACATTTCGGTAAGATACGAAACCTAAAACACAAACCAAGATCAAAATATGTCTTAAATATTTTGAGATATTTTTTACTTGCCTGGCATAGTTGCATAAGCCAACAGCATGTCACCACAATTAAGGGGTCTCATTGGCTGGGCATCGTGCTCAACCAACTGGTCTTCACCCCGGCAACATTGAAATATAAATATTTTTGGTTTCCCGTATAAACTGGGGCAGTTGTCTTTCGAAAAATATGAAATTATATCGAAAATCGTAACTGTTTCGTTGTCAATACCGGTAATTTCCGTCTGTGTGTCCATGGTTCCCGTCCCATGACTCATGATTGCAATAACACACATATCAACTTTATCCAGTCCGGGACTCTTTGCAAAACCTTCTAGACAACTTTTCATTTCACTAGCTTTCAAATTGTCCTTTGTCTTTGGATCAAGATTTAAAGCTTTGAAAAGATTCAACAAATTTTTGCCATCGTAATCGGCACCACTTCGAGGTTGTGATTTGAATTTGATGTTGTTGATGATCAAAGACTTACCCCGTCTAGGCCCGATTGTATTATACATAGGAATGCCGCCTTTAATTTCTTTAATTAATTGTGGCTTTTTCTTTATTCTAATGTCAATAATTGATGGCTCATTTAGGTCGTATTGCATTCGGGGCGTTGCCCGGCTGGTTTCCAATGTTGGAGTTGACAAGGTCCTCAATCTTGATACCGGTGATGAATATTGTCCTAAAGGACCTCTAACAGCGGGGGTATATGATGGTATAGCTGGCCTTGAAGGTTGTGAATTAGTCGGGAAACCCGAAACCGTGCCTGAATGTCCAGCCCGCCATGTTGGATTGTCAAATTGAAACACTGAACCAATATTGCTTGCTGGTGAAATGGTATTACTAGCAAATCGTGGAGAAACTGATTGAACAGATCTTTGAACATCGCCTTGTAGTTGGGTCGATGCGAGAGAGCTAGAATAGCTACCAAATAATCATATTTACTAAATGAGTCACTCTATGTTTGCCAGACAAATGCTACGTTGTGCAATGTATTTACCTATGCTGCGTAGTTATCGTGCGCTGGAAACTAGTGGCAGTATTATTTTGAGAAAATCCATGTTTAGTGTTGGTCACTTGGGTGCTCGTTTTCTTGCTTTGTTTGTTTTGTGCCTTCTTTTCCTCTTTGCTTTGCGAGGAGCCCATGACGACAAACTGCTAAGGCAAATTTGCCAGCCTCTAAATTATTTATGAGCCTCCAGTTATCATGTCATAGATAAGTCATATCAATATTTTTATCTTTGAAGCTTTATCAAAAGATAGCAGCAACACTCCGTTAATTCCAGAACCGTTAATTCTGGTTTGAATTTCCAAATCATTACAATGGATAGAATCTTTATTCATATTTAACTATACAAAAATATCAAAAAATTGTATATAATAGGTATCAGTCACCGGAAAAGGAAAAAAATCCTAAATTTATCAATAGTAAATTTAAATTGATTTAGTCAGTTGTTTCCATAGAAATATAATAAATTCAATTACTTTGGATTTAAATAACAATTCTGAAACGATTTGTTCTCATACGATGTGTGCTGCTGAATAGTTCTATTTTTAAGATTATTTTCTATTATTTTAAACATATCTTCTAGATGCAAGTCGCAAGCATGCCTCATAAAAACATTACATATCTCCCGAATGTAATATGAACCCAACTCCAAATTTCTACCAGACGGAAATCCTACAAAAGTAAGCAGTGTTAGTTTTTATTCTTAATTTCTAGATGCATTGTATCACCAGGCATAGTTGAATATGCAATTAGCATATCTCCGAGGTGCGGCGGGGGCGTTGGTGGTCGGGCATCAAATTCGATTCCTTTGTTGTCCGCAGAATCTCGAGAGCATTGAAAGATGAAAACTTTTGGTTTTCCCGCCAACTTTTTACAACGATTTGAAGCAAAATGCGAGATAATGTCATGGACTTTGATGAGCCCCTCATCAACCCCGTAAATCTCAGTCATGTCGTTAACACTCCCTTTTCCGTAACTCATTATCACAATAAAGCATATATCTACTTTGTCCAATTCTGAATTATTTGAAAAATGCTGCAAAGTTTTAGATATTTGGCCCGCTGTTAAATTGTTCTTTTCTTTAGGATTAAGATCTAAGGCTTTTAACAAATTGAACATGTTCGTACTATCGTTATGTGCCCCATCTCTAGTATGTTTGTGTTTAAACTTGATGTTGTTTATGATTAGAGACTTGCCTCTTATTTTACCATTCGTTCGGTACATGGGAATATGACTCTCCTCTGGTATAAAAAGTTTGGTGCCCTTCTTAATTAAAATTGGAATATGAGGTGTGTCAGCAGTAGTTGGAACACGATCCGTATTATCGGCCTGAAGCATCAATCCAAGTGGTCCCCGAATACTTTGAGTTTTGTATTGCCTAAATGTTTGTATCGGTGGTGTCGGTGGTACCGATGGTAACATCTGTTGGGTATCATCATCAGACTCGAACTTGTATCATTGTTATGAACTGCAATTGTATTTGTTGTAATTTCCCTGAATGTCTCTGCCGGGAAACTAGGTGCATTAACCTGTGTAGATGGCTGAAAGCTAAGCCCACTTAAAACTATTATGTTGATTTATTTATTAATTTAGACATACTTAGAAGATGGAGAATTTATTTCCTGGTATGCTTGGTTCTTTGCTTTTTGGCACGTTTTTGTTTTTCCGAATATTCCGCCCATTGTGTCAAAGGTAACACACATACATGAGTTTACAAAATTGTCAAATCGTTATCTAGCTGATATCAAAAGATAACGCACTTACGCTTGTTGCTAAGAGCGTAATGCATCAAATATAATAAAACATATATTAACAAACTAGGCTACTCAAGTAGCTTGAAAATAACATTTCTTAAAATACAAATTGTCGTAATGAGTGTGCTGGGTACTTCGGTCATGATTATAGACTACTTGTTCCACATTCTGAATCATACTTTCTAAGTCTTTTTCGTACACTTCGTCCATAAAAACTTTGCACATCGCCTGGATATAATATGAAGACATTGTTTGTTTCTGCATCTTTCCTGTAAACAAATTCTCATTATGTTAAGATGATGTTCTAATTATTTTAGCGTAAATTCATACCTGTTAATACAGCATTTGCAATAAACATATCCCTCAATGACAATTTCATTGTGTAATCAGTCTGGACTTGTGACTCATCATAGTAATGTCCGTGAAACAAAAAAACTTTTGGTTTGCCCTTGAGCTGGGGGCATTGCTCATCACTGAGACGTTCGATAATATCAACGATTGGCAAAAATTTACTATCGGTTCCGGAAATCTCAGCCAATTTGTTATGATCAGCTGTGCATTTTACATCCCCAATTATCACAATAACGCACATGTCAACATCTTTAGCTTTGCAATTTTTCGCAAATGAATCAATACTTTGGACAATTTCGTTTGCCTTTAAATTGTTTACAATCTTCGTTTTAAACTTGATTGCTTTGAGTAATTGTGATACATTTTTAACGTCTACAGTTGCCCCCTTCCTAGACTCGGCGTTCGAGTTGTTCAAAATCAGGGCCGTGCCCTTTGTGCGTCCAGCACAGGGGTAATTCGTTGGAGTACCATCGGTTGGCCTTCGTTCACTGCTGATTTTAATTTTAATGCTTTGTTAGTGTCTTCTAGGAAATGCCTTGGAAGGTAAGGGGTTGAATCTATCACAATTTGCCCTTCTGGACTTTTAGGTGCTCCACTAGCAAAGAAAATCAATATTAGTACACACTACAATAAAATATTACAATTACTCACGTGCAAAGAGCGGATTTACTTGCAGAAGTGCCCATTTCTCTCTACTGAATGTATTCACGTGCATGCGTGCTGTTTCATTTGGTTGTCGAGGAGAACTTATTCATTGATTATAAGTCCCATGTCACAATGTGAGTGTATGCGTTGATAAATTGATAGAACATCAAATTCGTTGACACATTTTTAAACAAAGCTGATATTCAATTAAAAAACGTTGTTTGATTAGACAGTTTTTGTACATTGGACCCGCACGACGTGTATAGAAGTACTGTGTAATCGGCGACGGTCGGTCGGTTACCCTTGCCAACTTCTCCCCCAGAACAGTGCGCGGAAGCGCGCGCGAAATTGTCAGGCCCCTTGCAGTTCACACAATGAAGCCAGTTGTAGTATGCGGACTACCTGGCCTTATCGAAATTCATACCTCACAAAATTGTAACATTGTAACACATAGTTACACTAGAAAATAAGCAACTTTCGCCTGCCATGTTTAAACTTAATTTATTCATGGATTATTGCGCAGGTAATAATGGTCTAGAAATTAGAAATTTTGTGCAAGATGATACCAGTCATTAAAAGCAAGCAAGTTAGACATGTTTATAAAATATTTTTTTTGTAAACACTAATTAAGCTCATATCAATTATATTTATTAATCTGTTTAGGTTTCTGGGCAGATTTTATCACTACCGATTTTAGAGCATTGTTTCATTGCGTATAAAAAATTTATCAAATATATCGATAATAAAATATTTATCTATAAATAATGAATATATAGGTTTAAATATTAAATCAAAAATGTTTAAGTTGATTGCCTTCCCAATAAATACCAGGATTCAAGAAGCACCGCCTGAAAGTTCTAATAATAAGTTCACCTGTCTGCATTTCGCCGGCACTGGTGCGCTCAACCTTCAAAGACTCGTATACAAGTTTGAGCATCTCCTCAACATCCGTGTTGTGAGCATGAGTCATAAAAACTTTGCAGATCAAGTAGATAAACCATGTACCTACGTACGTGTCACGATGCGAAGCGGTTCCTATAGTTAAATATCATTAAAACAAACACTGATATTGAATCATTTTACATTACCAACGCAAGTTGAATGAGCCAAAAGGAAGTCCGATCGAGTCGGCATGTAGTCAATTTCGACCTGGTTTGTAGTTGCGTTCTGATGTACGTGACTGTCAGTCTCTACTTTTCTACGGGTTCCGTAATCAGGAAATTTGCCTCTGGATCAACACAAACAAAAAACATGTTATTAATGTGATTGATACATTACTCTGCATTACTTTACCTGCAAGCTTGTACAAACATCATTTTCGGTTTGTTTTGCATGTAAACACATATGTCATTGTGGAAGAAGTGCTCGATGTCTCTTAAGTAGACTGGCACCGCATCACAGTCAAATATGTAATCTTTACCTTTATCATGGGTACCATGACTCATAAGAAACAACATGGCGACGTCGGCAGTCTTTAAATACGGATTAGTAACAAATTCTTGGACAGCTTTTTTAATGTTCTGCAACACAAAACTTATATGAATTAAATGAATAGGAGATATATAACTTTAATTTACCGCTTCCGTTGGTGGTTTTAAATGATTATCATGCACTTCAACTTTCAATCCCATTTGAGTGAATAAACTGGTCAAATTGTCAACATCAGTTAGTGATCCTTCTCTGTATTTCATGCCTGTGACTGTATCAATATTAATAATCTTCACCAAGCCTCTGTTTCTGGATGTAGTGTTATATAATAGCATTCCTTTCTGGCGTGCCTCATTTACATGGTTGAAGTTGTTAGATAGCTTAACAACAATGTCAAGCCTGTTTTCCTGTGCAGCCATATTAACCATATTGACTGGTTCTTCATAAAAGTTCTGGGGCTCAATAAATACTTTATTAGACCTCTGTTGAGCTCTTTGTTGAAGTGCTATATGGTTGTCATTACATGCACCTGGTTTCAAGCAATTCAATACTGTGTACTGTTCTGTTGCAGATAATGAATTTATAAAGGCATCATATGCAGTTGGACCCCGATTCATTAGGAATGTGAGCACTTCTCTGTTTTGTCTTTTCTTGTCTGTCATACCCTTATATATAACAGAAACATACATAAATATAGTCTACTGTGAGATATGAAGAGGTTAAAATGTACTTACATCTAATTCATCATGCTCATCTTGAGACATTGGAATCACATGTCTTAAGTGTGATAACAAAAGATCACACTTGCAAAGGTTCACTAAGAACTCAAAATTGTTGATAATTAAATCTTTGTGTTCCTTTTCCATGGCAGTCGATGTTTGTTTACGTATAACTTTTATGAGATCTTCGGACAAGAACTGATCTATGGCGATACTAATTTTCTTTGTTGGAAGACATTAGCACTTGCTAAAGTAATGTTTACAAAACTGAGTCACGCCTGATGGCGATCGTGTGGCGACCACTTCTCAACCGCAGGTGTAATATAGGCAACCTCACAAACACAAATTTGCGTATGTTCTGTATGTCCGAATACATTTGTACAGGATATGAACTTCAACACACACAGAACAACAGAACACACAGAAAGCAAAAGCTAAGACAGCTAAGACAGAACTAATTGTTTTACTTGATTATAAAATGCAATCCACAGCTGAAGTCATGATTAGAAGGACTACTTATTGCATAGTTGATAACGACAAGTCTGACAAAGTGGGTGATATATGATCAATTTATTCATAAGTATGATTGAAGTGTTTGATTAATTTTTATTCAGTTAATGTAATCCAATAATTTTAAATGAAGTAGTAAATATAACTGACAAACTTATCAAAGAAAGGTCGTATTGCATTGCAACAGATAAAAATCTCAAGTTAATACCATTAATGTTAACTGGAATTCCGCATTCTATATTATTATAATTACCTAGCTAATAGAGATATTAACTATAGCCAACTATAGACATTTTATCACAAGGATTTAAAATTCGCAATCAACAATCTCCTTACCAGGTTTAGAGCTCATGACGTCACTGGTAGAAGAATTTTCCCAAATTTGTGACTTTTTCACTTCTTTAGGGAATATCATTGTACCCTTGGCAGGACGGAAAGGAAAACAGAGGTTTGGTGATTTAAATATTATATTTCATAGTGCTAGAAACTACAATTTTACACAATAAATAAAAAAGACAAACAAGAAATACTATAAAAATTGTTCAGCAATGAAAACATATAAAAATAACTTTCAAGTAACAAAAATGTATCAAACTTATGATCGTCCACCACGTCCACCTGGCGCGCATTTTATCGTTACAAATGATCCTCCAAGAAGTAGAATGCTGGGATACAAGCGGCTAATTGTAAATATGTGAAAAATAGTATATTGCAGAAGTGCCAATCGCTTTTCTGTCTCGCACATCATCGTCGTGTGAATAATTTCGCCTCGTAACTTATTTAAAATTTAAGTAGATAAAAATTCTGCATTAAGTAACATATCATTTATCAATATTAATATTCATTTTAAAACTTTGAACTTATATACAGAGTGCATAGCAATCACAATTATTCAGCACACCTAAGCGATAATAATAAAAAATAGTCGTTAAGCCATTAACTTATAATCCATGTTTAAAACTTTATTTATGATAAAATAAAACTCGTACGATACGGGGGGGGGGCGCAGGCGCGCGCACCCTTTGCAATCTATCCTTGTAATCAGTACATGAACGCATTCTGCCCAGCTACCCACATTTCATCTGTCTCTACCTCTCTGCCTACCTACGACACACCCAATACTAGTAACGTAGTGTTTTGTGTTAAAAAGAGCATAGAGTATTACGTCATATATAAAAAAGTTGCGGATATTATAAGAGTAATATTGGCGTGTTGCATACGTTTATTGATCCGTCACAAACATTCAGTCCGCCGTGGCTTCCGCGAGTTGTGAATTGTCTAGTATCAAGTTGTTTACCGGCGAGAGGTCTTTCAGCAGGTGATCTGCCTCGTTGATAGACGACACTTCCTTCTCCTTCTCCTCGGACACTCCGTTTGGCACGATTTTTCTTTTTCTTCTTTCGATTTGTTCACTACGGAGCTGTTTGTGTTCTTCGCCAGTGGCTTTTGGTGATTGGCGCTTTGTTCAATGTACTTGATTTCGTCGCAGATGTCTAAGAGAAAGATAAAAACATTTTATTGCTATTCCAAGTAACATCAGTTGTATAATCTTGGATTATATCATCGTCCTTACCGATTTAGTAGCATCCGACTTGCGTGTAGCTGCCGTCCTCGTGGCAGCAGCTGTGCGACTTGCCGTCAGTTTATTAACGTTCTCTTTATTTTGCTTCTCGGCATCCGGCGCTCTTGTAGTGGTGGTGGTGGTTCTGGCGGAAAGTGGTACTCTAGGTTTGCTCACAGGAGCGGAAGCTGGTTTCGGTCTCGGTGCCGTTGTGGTGGTCGTTGTCTTCTGTGTGATGGTTCTGGTTGTAGTTGACGTAGCAGAACTGCTCAGAGGCTGTAAAAACAAATAAAAAAATTAATTGATTTGCAAAATCAACACGACAAATCTGCATACTCTGGATGTGGTTGTTTTTGATGTAGTGGTAATTCTTGCAGACGATAGTGAAGTCGGTTTCGGCCTGGGTGCAGCGGTTGTGGTGGTCGACGGTTTCGTGGCGGGTTTCAGCGTGGAGGTGGCAGACTTTGTGGTGGCCGCCGCCGGCTTTGCGGCTGTGGTCACGCCTGCCGGTTTCGGTGCGGTTGTGGTTCTGGCCGTCGAAGGCACCTGTGGTCTCTTGATTGGTGGAACTTTCGGCGCTGGGGCAGCCGCCTTGGCGTCGCCATTTGTTAATGGTTTCTTGTCGGCAGCGGGCCTTGATGCGGCTGCTAAAGGCACGCGCGGTTTAGCAGCCGGCGATTTGGCTGCTGTTGTGGTGCTGGTCACCGATCGCGTTGTGGTCGTCCTCGGCGGCACTGGTTTGGAAGCAGGCGCTGTCTTAGCGGGTGCCGGTCGGGCAGTCGTCGATTTCGTGGAAGCCAATGGTTTGGTCGTGGTTTTCGTCGCGGTCGTCGACTTCTTAATTGGTGCGGATGTGCCGGTTTTGGTTTTTGCCGCCGGTTTCTTCGTATCAGCAGCTTCGGCTATGACACCAGCGCCGACCGTCACTGTTGTCACCGCAGCCGCCGCAACAATGGCGGCCACCTCAGGTGCGGAAGCAGTTTCTTTTGGAAGCTCGCAGACCTCTTCCTTTTCTTGTACGACCTCTGGTGATGACTCGATTGTGATAACTTCTGTTTCACGAATGGGTGATTCCACAATTTCAATCGGGGATTCCAAATTTGTGATAAGTTCATGTTTGATTTCCTTGGCCTCTTCTACCGGGGAATCATCTTTGATCGATGAAGTAACATCGTCCACTGGTGACATCACATCCGCAACTTCAGATGGGACGATATCTTCTACTGGAGTAAGGATGTCTTCAGTCATCTTTAACACCGGCTCTACAATTTTGGGTGTTTCAGACTCCATTAGTTCTTCAACGTGTTTCTCAAAAGAGTCATTGACTGGATCTTGTTCAGAGACTGGTGATATCAATTGTGTTTCTACAACAGGCTCAACAATCGGGATGAATTCTGGTGTAAGAACTTCTTGAGTCAACACAGGTTCCGGATGAGGACGAATTTCTAGCTCTTCAGGTGCTGGAAGTCGGCAAATAGGTTCGGGTTCTGGCATTCTATCAACAGCATACGTATGAATGCCCTGGGGAGACATTGGTGGAAGTGATTCCTGGTCTGGCGTAAAGTCCAAAACCACTGGTTCTGGTGATTGGGCAATTTCCAAAGATGTTTCCGGAATGAATTCTTGCTGTTGATTGTCCGAAGATTCAGAAATTTCTTCGGCGGCTTCCTGATGATGTAATTCGGCTTCCCTAGACGCGTAGCAAACAACCGGTTCAGGATGCGCAACTGGTTCCATCAGATCAGCACCGAAGTGATCATCGACGCTAGGAGCAAAGTCCTCAACTTCGGGTTCTTCGGCGATAACATCAGCAACGGGCGATTTTGGCCCAACTTCCATCAATGGCTCCTGTGGCCGTTCAATGATTTCATCGTCAGTGTCAAACCTTCGCTCCACATCATCAAGCACATCTGGTTGTGTACTCTCATCGAGTTCCAAAAGAGGGCTGGAAGTATTCTCAACGACAGGCTCAACATGTGCCGGCTCTTCTGGTGACAAATCACAGAGGTTCTCAACAGGAGCCGGAGCAGCCGGTAATGGTGATGTGGGTAACTTACAAACACCAAAATCTTCATCTTCCTTGTGATCTAAATCGGTAGTTATTGGTTCCGCATTCTCAAGCGGATTATGCTCGGGCAACGAAGAGATAGAATCATCAAATGTCTTCGCGAGAGGTTCTTCTTGTTCCTTCTCATCGGTATACTTCTCTTCCTTGTCGACATCAAACGGCGTTTCACCATCATCCTTATCCTGATAGAAAGACATAGACATTGGATCCTTCTCCTTGTTTAGGCGATCGAGTAAATCCGCTTCCGATTCGTCAATCGCCGAATCATCGCCGTAGTTGGCTTTCGTAGACGAGCGCGATTGGTCCATGAATTTGTTTGGTGTCGAGAACGCGGCAGAGTTTGGCCCGAAGATGAATTGCTCAGCGGCGCCAACTGTCACCTTCGACGGAGAGCCGGTTGGCTGGAACTCAATCTCATCGATGTTCTTGCCATTCAGGAGATTTTCCAACATTTCCTGGGAAGATTGTTTGTGGCCCTACATAAGTAAATATTAAAAATTATTATAAATACAATAATAACGTTTTTCACGACATGCGTACATTTTCATGTCCATTGCTGTAGGCGCCACTAGGTCGATTATTCGCCTCTTCGACGAAGTCGTTTTCCTCGGGCACGTTGAAGTCGCAATTCGCGGCCACCCGGCGCGGCGACTGCGCCAGGATCGGTTCGTCTTTCAGCGCCGTCCAATCTGTGCCACGCTGCTCCATGCGCGTAGGTGACACCGGCACAAATTCCTCGGCGTTCGGATTCAGTTGTGACATGTTATCGATTTCTTCGCTTTCGTCAACTGTCGGAGCACTCTGCAAAACGGAATTATTAGTGCACCGGCGCATAAAACAAACACATACAAAAATAAAAAATAAATAAATAAAGCCATAGTCATCAACTTACTTCGGTTTGTGTTTCGACCGGTGGCTCGCTGTGTTCTTCGCTGGCTGGTGGTAGGTTTTCTTTGTCGTCCTCCCTAGCCGTTTTAATGTAGTTCCATTCGTCGTCCTCCGAGTCGCTATCTAAACCGGCATCGTGCACTGCAAACGAAATTAATCACCAATTAATCTTCGCGACGCGTGCCGCCACACCCTCAACATCATCCACCCTATCGCAACAAGTACATCTCGGCCGGCGCGCGTCAACGAACGCAAACTAAACCGGCGATAGAGACGACCCGAATGAATAAATAAAAAACCAGACAATATCTATGCAAATTAGAGAACAATTGCAATTACAACTTAATTAACAATTGTTCGTGTTGTAGGCTACGCTCGAATGCAATTAACGCGCGCGGCGTGTCGATTGCCATTAAATTCGCAATGTACAACCATCGCAAATTTAGCAAGTCGCGACAATTCAACGAAAATCTACACTTTTCGATTCTGTCTTCGATTAGGTGACCACACCTATAGTGTAATACACCTATGATCGAGTGATTTAAGAGATGCTAATTAACAATTAGCATCGGCGCGAGTAATTTTCCAAGTCTGCGAGGCGATGCAACAAACATAATTGACATGATGTAATTATCCATCACAATCGCTCGATTTAATTATTCATTTAAACTAGTTAGCCAGGCACATCTCGTCAATCGCAGGGTTTATCTCCACATGGGGGGCATGAAATATGCGGCGGTATTAATTCGCGCAAAGTGCGCTTGAACCATATTTCATGCGCGCCGATGTCTCGTCGTCCGCAGACGCTACGAGTGCATGTCGGATTCGCGTGGGTTATTTTCTTCCTGAAGAAGAAGTGTACCATGTACCAACACCAGCCAGCCGCAGCCAGGCAACGAGCAACCATGCATAAAACATTTAACTCATTAATTTCGTGTCGCCTGTGCCGCGCGCGGTGCTTCGTTCGCATAGGTCGTAGGCCGACGAGAATGCAGATCTCGCCTACAAATGCTTCAAACGACAAAAATGTGCGCGACATAATTCTTGCTGGCGGTCGAGAGACGCACACGCGCGATTAAATATCATCGAAATGCCGGCCGAGGCAGCAAGGATTATAAAACAAAAAAAAAACTAACGTCAATGATTCATACGCTGCTATTGGATTTCGCTTTTTAATGCTTCGGCTGTTCATAAAAAAAAAAAGAACGTTTGAATTAGTTAGCAGAGAGTAAGGTTGAATAAATAATTGCTATGACTCAGGCAGGTTGTAATTTGTTACGACACCACCGGCAAACGAAAGCAAGAGTTCATAAAAACGCGCTGTTTTTTGTTGCTAAAATGCGATTTTGATATGTAACCTTGAAGATTCCAAGACTCTTCAAATAATTCATGTAATTGACAGACACGGCCGCCATGACACCATGATAAACGTTATAAGTAAAAGAGTTATAATGAAATGCAATATGGGATAGGCAAGTCATAAATATATTGCTGTTATCAAGGGATATTCTTATCTCAACACAACCCCACCCATTTCGATTGTTTGTGCACACACAAGGTCAAACGCAATGAATTGTTAAGAACTTCTCACAATAATTTCCGACGCAAATCCATATATGAATCGAATTCGTTGTTCATTTGTTATTTTTTGTTATTCGACGCGCGCCATGTTTGCACCATGCTTCGGATTTCGGTGTCTGGGGTCTTGACCATGCACAGGTTATTCAAGAATTCGGCGCGCGAATTAAACCAATTCACGATTAGCGAGTGCATCAGGACACCTCGAGTCGCTTCTTATAAATAGATTCGCAAACATAACGCGCGCCGGCGATACATACACACAAAAGTACTTACACTACAGTAAGTACAGTCGCTTCTATCAGCGTATTAATAGTTGCGAGTAAATATAGGCGTACATTCGTGTGCAGCGGCAATATACCAGCACCTCACGTAGGGAAGCCGTACGAATGTGTAGCGTGTAACATGCAGGCAGGCAGCAAGTGCGTAGTAAGTGCACGGGGCCACTCTTCGGCGCACGTATAGATTACTCTACCTTCAAAGCGACGATGGATGGATCGAAATGCAATTCCGCTCGTACAAGAAGAGTTCACGGTTCACGTATGCACACACTGATTTATGTAGCTGCCCAAAACGCCGGGTCGCGGGTGCGTGTGTGTGTGTGTAGGTAGGTATAAAATCAGTCTTCTGTTTCTTGTAGCGCTTCGACAGGAAGGGCACACGAGGGGCACGAGATTCGTATACAAATAGTGTAGATAGTTATAAAAGTCGGCGTCGCGCCGATGCAAAACGTTGCTTGTAAATGTGTGTAAAAAAACGTCCGCTCCGAAATGGACGACGAGCAAGAAGTAAGCAGAGACGGACGTGAAACCGCACGCGTTCGGCGCAGTTGACGGGCGAACGTTTCGAGAACACCGGCACCGGCTGCAGACTGACTGGGAGCAAACGAGATGCACGCAAGCGACACACGACGGGGAAGGGTGGCAGCCGGCCGGCCGGCCGGCGAGCGCTCGGGTACCGGCGTGCGCATGCGCGCCGCAGCTGGAATCGCGCCCGGCCGCCGCGAACGCTACCCTGTTCTAATTTGTCACATGCGTCTGCTAAATCCGCTCACATTTGGCAAGCGCAACACTTAGATAACGCTAATAAATATTAAGCAACTCACAGTTGGGCGAAAACAAAAAACAAAATCAACCAGACACCAGACGTTTGTTTTTTGTTTTGTTTTCCTTTACGAAGGTAGTGGTAAGTTTCTAACAAAACCCCGCGGCCATCTTGAGTGAACAAAATCATTTCACGTCATCGCTTGCGAATATTATGCAACGCGCATCCGGAACATCGTCCGACTTCGCGGTGCATAGCTGATTAACCACACCTGGACGTGCAAAGCCACGCAAGATGCACTTTTTTCATCGCGGGTCCCAAATAAGGCGTCCGCGTAAATAAACCGGAAGCCCCCGCACAGCCGCCGTTTCAAACTGGAGCAAATGCGAGACGCTTATTTAATCCAAACAGCTTATGAATAATTTAAATTGTCGCTGAATGAATTCAGGATAGCCTACGCAAAGCGCGAATATAGTGTATTAGGCACGAGGTTATCGCATAAATGCAGAGAAAAAACCACACACAAACAAAATGGCTGAGCATGAAATGAACACAACGTGTCAACCTGCCTCAACACGAGAAGCTCGAGAATCCGATCGTCGAGAGCGGCGGCATCTTCACGTTCAAGGGGACATTTGCATCGGATATAAAACAACTATTTCGGGACGCGCATCCAGTCTCTCTCCGCCATCGGAGGGTTCATTAACATCACGCAACGTCAGACGCCTGCATCGCTTTCGATTTAGTCACCGCGCCGCCGATTCCCGAAATAAATGTCCCCGGGATGACCGTGCACTTTGAGCAACCACAGCGCGGTAAGTTTCAAGAGAGAGTTGACTTATTAAAACTACATGCATTCTGGAAAACTTACCATCATCTGCGGGTGGCGTGGGAGTTTCCTCCTTCCGCTCAACGCCCGCCAGTTCATCATGTTCATCATCTTCATCGTGCTCCAGATTGGAATCAGTACAGTTTTCAACGACGCTTTTCAATAGATTAGCGTCGATTTCCTTCGTAACCTTCTCCTCTAGTTCCTCGCTCATTCCTGCAATGAGTTTTACAGGCGACTGTACTTCATCAACAGCATCTACATCTGTTTCAGGACCCAGATCGTCCAGGTCTTCGTCAAAGTCGTTTTTGCCGTTAGATGGAGCAAAGAAACCTTCGTTAGAAGGCGCATGCGCGGCATTATGCGGCCGAAAACCGTCCAGATCCAAGAGGAATGCGTCTTTTTGATGCGTCGCTAAAATATCAGCACCGTTCGTGCTCGCGAACGGATTCGACGACGCGTTCGTGCTATCGAAGCCGGCCTCCATCCTCTCGTCGACGAGCCGAATCTCCCAACGCGGTTCCGCTGCAATCTTCGCCGGTTCCTTGAGGAACACCACAATCACCGATATGTTATCGGTGGAGCCCTTCTCCTTGGACTCCTGGACCAAGCGGCGTGCGATCGTATCCGCTACAATATCTAAAACAAATTTAAAGAAAAAATGAAATAAAATCATCAACTTGCATTCACATTGTTAAAGATAAAGAGTTTCGTTAAAGTTTGCGAAAGGTGTTGTACGCAGCGTCCCGTGCGGTTCGTCGACCTTATTCTTTATTATTACTACACGTACTGTCGACGTCTTCGACTTCGGCGAGCGTGCGCCGTCGGCCAGCAGGTGGCACAACCTTCTGCTTCTTCAGCGCGCTGCTAATGGCACGCGAGTGGCAGTGCGGCGGCGCTCTACTTGACTAATGAAAGCAACGCGGCGTTCATTACGCTACCTCCTTTCTTTCAACTCGTATTTATTTTTTTGCTTTGCAAGACTCAAATTAATTTAAAACACACATAACCACGCAAACTGACCATCAAGGCGCAGAAAGCACACACACCGGGGGCCCAACCCGCCTCACTTCTCACCTTCGTCACGCTCCACTTGAATGACGTGCGATATGATTCTCACAACAAGCAGCAGAGACACACAAAACCGCACGCGCAACACGATTGCAGGAATTTACACACAGCGAAAAAGAAAATGTTTCTATTACCAAACCGACGCAAAACCAAACTTTTGATCGCTTGCAGTGTTTGTACAAAGTCGTAACTCAAATAAATGAACATCGTCATCGGGTTCGCGGCCGTTCGCCACTCTTGCCATTTTGACTACTCGTACCACAACGTCGTGTAAGGCCAAGTGAGATGGATCTCGCGTCTCGGCGCATTGTTCCATCGTGCAATTAAGACGATTACTCTTCCCATGAATGCTATGGCAAGCATTTCACACGGGAACTAAACTTTTAAAGACTTGCCACACACACACAAATTTAAACGAAAAATTTAAATTACAAAATATCTTAATTAACCATTTGAACATTTCCAACCCCCAAAATAATTTACTTCATCATAGCAATTATAATCAAAACTACCCTCCATGAAATTACACAGCGGAATGCAGAATCGATGGTCGGATGCTGATTTCGACTAATCTAATTACCCCAAACGAGTAAAACAATGCGCGCGTAATGAGAATCGCCCGCCGGCGGCGAGAAACAAGCAAGCGCTGACGATGCGCAATTTTCCGGACGGCGCGTAATCGCGATAACGATTACGTCGACGCGGGGCGCGTTCGATCAATTCCCCGACGCGGCGTGCTTTCTAACATATTGGAAAGGAAATTGGAAATTCCACGCCTTCAATGATGCCTGCCCAGCGGTGATAGTAATCGGGATAGGTCAAAACACCGGACGTACAGCGACTAATTTTGATATACGGATACAAAAATTACGCAAGAAATTCGCCGAAAAAAGTCGTCTTTTTGCATTTTAAGTGTTATTTTATGTAGAAAGTTACAGAAACATGTAATTTTCAGGAAATTAGCAACAAACTCAGACGTACTCGTAGAAAGTTGTGTAAAGAGTGAAATGACGCCGCCACCTGCGTAGTGGTTACAAGCAGTAGAGGTACATTTATAATTGCAAATTGCACAATTGCACTACTTGAGCTGGATTTTCCTTTTTCGTGCAATGATGTTAATCCAGTCCTAATCAGAGTTGACACCACATGTGACCAGACGTGTCAAGAATTTTAAGTGACAAGTGTTCGCAGATTCTCGAACAAACATAAACTGTTTATGTTGAAGATGAGATCATTTTAACAAGCAAGGTTTATTTTGCTATAATTATCTAAATATGTAGTTTGATAACAAGGCGAACATTAACTAACTATGTGAATGGTGCGTAAAGGTTACCAACGGTTTTTCGCTATCACAAAAACACAAAATTCAAGTTAAGTATTCATAAATTCCGCGTGTTCGTTGGTTATTTTCGGAATCGTAACTGATCGTATAAACAAAAAAAAACCTACACGCACATGAAAATAAAAAAAATCTCTGTGCTTTGACTTTTCCAAATAAAATCACAAACGCCAGCCGAGTGAAACGAAAATGAGTCAAACATGTGAAAGGTCACATGCGAAAGCGCGCCAGCGAGCGTCAAGTGCATAAACTGCATAGTAAACATTTTTTTTTCTCGTGACAAAGTGACAGGAAAACATTAAAACATTTAAAAAGCTTACGTAATGCGCGCGTTTGCTGCAATTGCATTGCGAGCAATAAGGGGTGACTCATTGGCGTTTCGGACGAATGATTAACGTGGTAATAAAACGCGAGACATAAACTTGGAAAATCGTAATACGGATAAATAAAAACAAATGTACACCGCAAAGGACAACATACACAAATATAAATAAACAGAAACACCGAGCAAATGAAATAATTATGGTTCGTATAATTAAAACATGAAAATAAAAAAAAAAAAAAAATAGAATTGTGACTGATTGGGGTTAATTATTATTTGTGCTATACCAAGAATCAATTAATCAAATTCAAAGCATGATCCAAAAGAGTAAATTTCACGAGAAAAATAATATAAATACATAATGAAAACCATTAGAAGATTACTGTTGTGTGACTGTGAAAATATGCGTAATGTAATGAATATTCATCAAGCTTCGTGTCCGGAGTGAGTTTTCTTTCCAAAACGGGACGAAATAAAAAGAACTCAACACAACACCAGCGCGAAACGTGCCGCGAAAAAAAGATTACACCTCGCGTCACGTGAATGTTAACGACATTACGCTGGGCCGAAAATAATTTTTTCGCCATACGTATGCTAATGAGGTAAATATCCAACCACCGCACGTGAGTGAGCATGCAATGACGTCAAATTAGCTAATTAAATACAATTAAATATTAAACTTAATTAAATACGCAACCTAAATACCTGATTTATTTCTGTTTTTTTTTTAGTTGTATAGTGAAAACTTGTAAAAATTAATTGTACATTAATTTATTATTCACTATTAGCACCAAATTAATTTCAATGTAATGAAATAAAAGATTATCACTTGTGCGCACTGGTTGTGTAAGTTGTGCAAAACTTTCTCGCCGATTGGCAAACACGCGCTACAATTCCACCACCAGCCGTTTCAGCGGGCGAAGCACTGACTCAATGCCCGTCTGTCGGGTGCGTCGCGGCCGGCCGGTGTCTGGACATCACCGCCGCGCGGATGGGAGGAGGTGGTGGCCCCAAACACACACACACTACATACACCAGTACGTTCGCTATGACTCATTGGAGGATTGGTGATGTTGAGCGAAAGTACTTGCTGGGTGAAGTAAAGCAAAAATCGCCGCAGGATAAAAAACAGTCAAGTTACAAATCCATCCAAAACAAATTACGTTTAAGGTCATTTGTTTTAAACTATTAAACCGTAAAAAAATCAACTATCATAATGTCCTTGCGATTTTTTTAATAGTCATACGTATTTTGTGGTTTATTTGACATGGAAATTACCAGTGTACAGAAACAATTTATATTATTACCCAAAATTGACACTAATTCACTTTGCAAAGTTTAATTTTAATTCTACAGTTGAAATAAAACAAATTTAACTTCATGTACACACAAGTTTTTAGCTAATGAAATTATGCAAATTAACATTTATTCCCACCGCATTTCATCCCCATTTCGACGAAATAATAAACCAAACTAATAGTTTCCACGCCAAATAGAAACAGGTGTGCAGAAAAAAAGCATGCGTGCGAAAATTCAACCACACCCTGGAACAACACACACAATATATATACCTATGGAGGTGTACTTAGCGAATGCACCACGCATGCAAAACAAAACGCAAACCGACTGTTAACTGGCACACAACTAAAGTTATGTCTGCACAAACACACACAGGTAAACTAATCATCTGTATGTTGCTTCACGAATGTTCGCCGGACATGCAGAAAGCTCTCCTTTACGACGTGTAATATTTTTATATTTCGTGTGGGGCGAGAGTTCATTATTATCAGCGCACGCCACCAGACACCGGTTAACCACACCACGTCGTTTATTTACTGCCTGAGTGCAGTTTAGATTGAATTGGATGTTGTGGGATGCAATGTGAAGATGGCCCATAAAAGATACAAAGCTCCATGAGCTTACCGATCGACCAACCCTAAAGTATAAATTCTGCCGGCGATGAAAAACTAATGCGGCTATTCATTACTTTACAAAATAGAAAATTGAAAAAAAAATAACATGAATGTAACTTGTAATATTACATACGAGTGAAGTGAGTTCAATGCAACCAGCAGTAGTAGTAGCAGTAGCTACAAGACAACACACCGAAAATAACTGTTCTTCGACGGGTAATCAACGTCGATGGAGTGAGTGAGTCACCGGTGCGGTATGTAATACGTGAATTAAATTGGAATTAGGGTCGTGAAGTAAGTATCAAACTGCAATGCGCGCGCCGAACTTGTGGCGCAGATTGCCAACTGGCAAATTGAATACACAGGAAAATAGTGAATGCGCATGGAATTCTATTACGTTGCCGTCGAGTTTCCAAGTACCCCAATCTATTCAACAATTTACTCTACAACTAGACAACTCACACAACACAAAGAAAATATTCTCTGTACAAAGTTTCAATTCACAACAGACCAGAAGTATCAAGGTTCAAATTGCCACGCTTAATTTACCACCCTTTAATGTCCTTTGATCGCATTAAAGCTGAAATGTTATTTTACCCCCACTCTACTTCGGGGGTACTTGTGGTAGAGGTATGATACATGAGCGTGTTGACTTGATGACAACATTTATGGACGCTATTTCTCAAGTATACATAAGAGTACGTATAGTGAACAATTGCGGTCGGCTACTGAATAATGCATAATGAATTAGTTTTTCTTGCTTGTGCGAAGCGCATCGCCAAGGAGACAAAATTGAGTGCAGCACTCACATTGCGGTGTGTGTATGTGCGTGTGGTGCTTGACTCTTCACACAGCACGATGATGGTACTTAAGATCTCGTAATAAAACCGGCACGTATGCTCGCTTTAACGGTAATTAAATTGCATTTAGCAATCATTCGTAAAAACGCTCTCTTTAGTTAATTAAATTTTATCTGAACATTAATCTACATCAT